TTCTGTTAATTGGAAAACCACATTTCTGTGACTCATCCAGTTCATTAAAGATAGGTATTTGTATCATGATAATGTGATGAAATGTCCCTGCAGAGCCTGCTGGAGAACTTTTGTTATTGTTAAGTAAATTTTAAGTTCCCCAGAAAAGATCATATGCTGTTAATATATTGATATTTATGAACTGTGAACTAACAGATTGCTTTGATGGTGGGCACTTACATGTACATAGGAACAGTTTTGTGTGTAGTTTTAAAATGAGAGCCATTGTCAACATTTTTAAGAGCACTGTCTAAATGCAAGTCAAAGGTATCCAAATACCCTTTAAGTGCTACACCAACCAAAATTTTCTGGAATGGGGTTGGTTGAAATTGTAAATTGTGAATCTCCAATCTGTACATTTTACCTTTCATTTTGTTCAGTGCCCTACTGGATGCCTTACTGATAGTCCCGCGTGACTGGGTACTTAGTGGGGTCTGCATTTGGTTAATGTTGCTCTGCTGTGGTCCTCTTGCTTAGCTCAATAGGGAAAGCATTGGATAAAATTTAATAATCTAGTAGTCGCTGGTTTGATACTCAAGCGAGGCATAAGTTTTCCATGAAAATTGATCTCAGAAATTTGGGTCAAATGGTCATTTGTCTTTCACAGCTGATTCAGAAATCATGTGAGATAAGTTACAAGTCAGTCCTTTGTTAGGTTAATTACTGGTTTAAGTTACATGTATTAAGGACGGCTGGTTAGTTGGATCAACAGCCAAGATATGGCCCTTAGAACTCATACTAAGTTGGCATAAAAATCCAGAAAAAAGGCAAGCAAACATAGTTTACAAATGCTCTTCTTTGTTGAATTGTTTCCTTCCAGGAGAGAGAATCTTGTGTTCTCAGCACTATCGTTCAAAACATATAAAACAGCATCATGTTATATTAATGTATAATATATTAATGCATTATGATGAATTGTATGCTTTAACAACCATACAGGGTTGTGGTATATGATATATATATACAAGTATGTATTGAAGTATTAAAGGTCATGATGTTAAAGTGTCTGATATATGTATTCTCCAGTGAGATATACAGTTTTCTAAATAACAAGACAATATGGCATCATATTCTCTAGAGAGAATTAAAACAAAATAGTTTCTCATTTATGTTCATTGAGTATAGGAACTATATTGTCTAAAATATTTCATAAGATCTATAGCTTGCAGCTTTAACTTTACAATTTGCAGTTATTTATATTTTATGAATGGCTGAGAAAAAAATCTAGACGCTCACACAAGATAAATTGCTTAAACGTTTAAATTCTTGCATGTGATGCAGAAATGTACAAATTTACTTTACATATTAAAGCAGCATGCCTCCAGATTCATGTTTATTGCCATTGTCACAGTTCAGAACTGTTCACTATTTAGGGGAGATATGTGTAAGAGACAGTAGAGACACGGTATGGTATTCCAAGGGTCCTGGTTTTGAGTCCTTTTCAGGCTGCACATTTTTCTCACATCATGAAAAGTTTGACAATGTATTTAAATGTAAAATATTGTGAAACAAACAAATATATTATTTTACACATTGAAAATAGTGCTTGCAAGCCATGTAAATTAGCAAACACAAGGTCAAAATATTCCTGAATAATAATTTTTTATTGTGCACTGTTCATGACACAAAAATAAAAGCTTTACAATGCTTGCTAAGAATCACAGTAAAAATTGATTTTCAATTTAATTCTGAGTATATTTCTTTGTTATCCTTTGCAGAGTTGCCTCACTTGATATTTTTAACATCTTTAGGTAGTTGGACCTCAGTGAAGTTAAATCCTTAACATTAATGATATTGAAATATTATTTTTATGTGACATGAATTCCTACTTCCTAAAATTATCTAAATTTCTAAAAAAATATGTTTACACAGAGCAACTTTTATTTTCATATTCTCTAGCATTACACATTGATGTTCAAAATTAGATGTAAAGAAGTCAGTGAAGTCAGTAAAAGAATTTATGGAAATTAAGACATTTCTTGGGTACAAAAGGCAAAGAAGGAAAATTTAACCCAGCATAGATAATTTTATTAAACTTTGCATTATTACAGATAATCATGATTATAAATTAATAGAATTAAAATACATTTTGAGTTATCTACTTCCGAAATTAAAATTATTAACCATAAAACATTTTGAGATATCTACCCTTGAATCATAATACAATTTGAGTTATCTGCTCCTGAAATTGATTAAACAAGACACTTGAACTGATCCACTAGAATTGCAATTGTTGAATTCCCATAAAGCCAGTGCATCATGTACTACTTAAATTTTGGTGCTAGTTTGTGCTGCATTTAATATACATGTATATAGGGAAACATGAAGTGGCTATCAAATATAAAGCTGCAAAGTTACTTTGTGACCTTGATTGTGACTGTGCAACTTAAGTCTATTTAGATTATAAAGAGTTAGAAGAATCAGGGTTCAGCTAAATATTTTTTTTAATTTTTATAAGATATTACAGTAAACAACAATAAAGTTGGGAAAATCAATGTTTTTAACAGCATCATTAAAGTCTCCGTGCACGTCATAGATAATGCATATTTTGTGTGTACGGAGTAAAAAAGTGTAGAGGTAACAAGTTAAGTGAAGTGATAAATCAGGACATGAAAAGCGCAACAAGATTAATCACGAAGACACTTCGTATGGTGCGCTCGTATTCAGCCGGTAATTGGTGTGTCGAAAGTTCAGTCTTAAATCAATCCTGGAATAGAATATGATTACTGTAATGCATAAGAAAAGAATATTACTCCCTAATGAGTTGTGAACATAGAGAGAGAAATTGATCTACATGTCGTCTGCTAAATCGTTATAGTCTCGTGTCGTCTTAAATGTCTCGTATTCATACCAGTTACATCCGATTCTATATATATATATGTATATATGTTTGTATATGCTTTCGTAACATTCTGTTACTGTTTCTGTCAGTGAAATCAATAAAATTTTCAAGAAATTCAGTTAAATGTTGTTGGGAGGGGGGGGGGGGGAGGCTTAGACAATTTCCCCCTCCTAACAGGTAAACAATTTGCCCAACTTTTTCAGTCTTAGCTCATCCATTGAACACTCTCACCAGATTTTATTCGGTTGGTTGATAGAGTTTATCAGTTGCATCCTTTCCTTGCATGTATTTTCAGTTTTCAAGGAAGCCATTTAAAAGCTGATACTTAAAACATGTATGGAATCATACCACTTTACGCCCTCTATATTTTGATTGATCCCTTTTATATTTTCTGTGAGGAAAATACCGTGTTGCTCTTCTATTAAATTACTATTACTTTCTTCATTATTTCATGGCCTTGAGAAAATATCATATCAGTGGAAAAATTTGTTGATGATAGGGAAAAAAAGAAAACCAATATTTTCTAAGAATCTTGTCAATAAGCTGTTTAAGAACTTGCCGAATGCGAGTATTTCCTTATCTAATCCCAGAGTTCATAACAAACTTTTACCCTTTTCAGCTTCACGGTCCTCTACTGATCATGACGCAATTGCGCTTAATATTGATACGTTTACAGTATACCAAAGTTGTAATTGTTAAAGCTTGTTTGTACTCTAGTGGGATAAGATGGGAAATACCCACATTTGTCGAGTTAGAGTTCCGGGGTATATCTATTATGAAGAAATGTATGCAGTGTATTACGATGTATACAGTGTATTATAATGAAAATCACTTTACCATGTCCTGCAATCCATTTATAACAAGCATCTGCTACTTCTGATCACAGTACCTTTCTTGGTAGTAATAATTGTACTGCATGACAAGATATTATGCTATTTTGTTACTGGGAAATATCTCGCCTCGTAACGTAGAAGGGAGATTCTGACCCAGAATGAAAATATCTCAGAATCTAGCTTTGGCACGCCAATATATTTTGACTACTTTCTTGTGTAGTTTGAATATTTTAACTGCAAGACTGACCGATTATTTTGACTGCAAAACCGTGCTATTTAAGAGAAGTAGGGGGCCATATAACTGTAAACAGAACAAAAGAGAACAATAGAGTTCATTTCATAACAATAGAATAAGGGGCCATGGCCCTCTATTAAACAAAAGAAAATAACAAAAGAAATGGCCCCTTAGTCCATTTAAGTGGCATGTCCGACAGATTTTTCAAACTGATATGACATTGATGCTGGTCTAGCAGGGTGACCATCGTCTATATAATAAAAAGCCTGGCACACAATTTGTTGGGCTACTTTCTATTTTCTTGAGTAACTTGTATCATTCTGGCAGTAACCAGAAATAGTTGTCTCCTTTATACACTGTGGTGTAGAGAAAATGTTAAAGTGAATAGAGGGAACATCATAGTTGGCTTCAGATACCAACAAGTCAGTAGTGATAATTTAATTAATGATGACAAAACAGGTGTTTATATTGCATTAAACATGACATCTCCTACCTGAAATGACATAACCATCTGAACTTATTATACAGATTATAATACTTACAGGTATAATTATGCTTCCTTTGTGTTTTTATATGCCAAATCGTCTTATTTTCCCTGTATGTCTTTCTATCAAAAACATGTGTAAGATAAGGCTGTGATAGCTAGGTAAGCTATTTTATAGGTATTTTGCAGTGACATAATTAGTACAACCTCAGCTATCATTATGTATATCATAGCATAACCCTTTTTCTTCACTAGATATCTAAAATGGACTTATCTGTTGTTCAATCTGGACAAAACCATTTATCATTTTAAGGGGAAAATTTAAAATATGTTCTTAAAGAATAGCAAACAGTGGCGACCATGATTAAACCGGACAGATTATGCCAACTTGTCTTGGTCGGTCTCGTGTGGGTAGATTATGTTGTTACAAGCAGGCTAAGAGATGAGATATGTTTAGTTTACCTAAGATAGGCTAATAATAGAAGTACATCTGAGGTATCGTACTTAATGTTTTAGCTTTCTTGAAACAGATAAAATTGTGTATGTTTTTGTTTGTTTTATTTTCAGGTCTGGTGAAGCTCGGTGTGCATTGTGTAACTGGAAAACGTGTTGCTATAAAGATTGTTAACAGAGAAAAACTCAGTGAATCAGTATTAATGAAGGTGTGTAATAAAACTATTTATAAACAGTCCTATTCTCAATGTGGCGGAGATGTTACCCTTAAGGGTTGAGACACCATAATTGTAGCCACCGTTTATCCCTGTGTGATCGTAAGAGGTGACTAAATGGGTTCATTTTACTGGAGTATATGCATTTCTAAGCTCCAGCAGGTGAGGTGGTTTTGACCCCTGGTGTTGCTTTAAGTTTAAAACACCCAAGGTTAGCTAAAAATCATATTTCCTGTTCCGCCACCATATAACCTTAACTGAGTTGGTGTGCGATAAAAAGCAAACAAAAACAAAAATGAGCAGGCCTGTATCAGTACTGAAGTAACTAAGTGCCATATTTTGACTTACACAAACAATCATTTTTACCAAGAGGTCACTCCATTAAAAAATTTTGGAATGCAATGTAAAGGTTACTTTCATTGAGGTTCTAGTATGTCTTTAGCTCACCTGAGTGCTCAGAGGTGAGCTTTTATTAGACGGCGCGTGCACGCGCCCGCGCCATCTAGTAGATATGCATTTGTCTGTATAGCAATGGGGAAAATATTAGACTTGATTTTGTGCATCTTTTTTTTGTTTTAACAACATCGAATTGTTTTCAAATTTTCTAATGAAAATAGCTTTTCTGATGTACAACATGTCACAGAGCTTTAAAGGATTAAAATAAACGTTTAACTGAAGTGATAGTGTCATGTTTGAATATCACATTCTTTTTATTTTTATCTTTTTTTTATAATTTACCAATAAAATAACGTACCAATGAGCCAGTCTATATTCTAAAGCAGGAAATTACGAGTGGAATATCCTCGGCTATTATCAATATCAACAGAAAGGGTCGAAAAGTTGCGGTTGAGGAAATTAGGGTATAATCAGCGTAATTCCTTCAATTACCGTAATGCACTTAGTGGTCATTATATCGACGGTATATAGAATATGTTTATAACAAACACGGATAAGTGTAAACTTGCATTTTGAAAATAATAAAAAGGGGTTGAATTTAAAATCTTAAATTTAGTATACAATCAGTTAATTATGCTTCGGTCAGTCAGGGAGTATTTCTTGACACTGTATGCTAGGTGGATTTTGGTAATTTTTTACGAAAATAAGATTTTTTTTTTGAAAAAGCGCATTTATCTGTTTAAATAATCATGTCAATCATATATTTAAAATACATACGTACGAAAATACCTCAAATGGCTGTGTAAAGTGGAAATAAGATCGGGTCTACGAAATTGATATAATGTATTAAAAACGTATTGTTGTTGTTATTAAATTTTAATATAAGTAATGAACCATGTTACATAAATCTTATTTTCGTAGTGGCCTTATTAGCTTATTTTAGCATGCATTATTTCTATACTGTATATACTGAATCAGGGTTGTAGACCCCAGCGGCAGGGGTTCGATTCCCGGCACCGGAACACATTTATGTTATCAAGTCTGTTTTCGTCTTTATTTATTAAACAAGCTGCACATACCAAAAAAAAATTGATTACGGCTTCGGATATTCAACTGCAGAGAGCAACTGTCTGATTTTGTACATTAACTGTGACTGTTCACATCATTTTGCGGCGTCTTTGATGTGCAGCATCAACATTTAACTTGTAAACAAATGCCATACCTCATCCAGGGTGCTAAGGCATCCGTGGTTATCCACTATTTCGATATGTTTTCCATGGTATAATTTTTTGCCCAAGTAATTTTAGGGCATCTGCAGATGTGAGATTTTGTGGTTATCAGATCTGTCCTCTGTGGTTATCCACAGTTTCTATTAAACCATGCTATCCGATCGTAAAGGTCAATCAAATTCCCACAAGCAGAGTAAAAGAATTTAAGACTACACAAACAATATTTTAAGACATTGCAAGGTTGCAAAAATGAAATTAGAGGTTCTATGGGGACATTAAAATATATATTTACCTTTGATTATTCCTAAACAAGTACCATATTATTCCTAAAATAGGGTAAAAGTTAAAAATAGATACCATAATACATTGATATTCTGTAACTACCTCCTTGCATTTTTCAAGGTACATGTATGCTGGGGTTGCACTAGGCCTTACCAAGTTAAAAATAATTGGGGTGTAGGGGGTCGGGAAATTCACTTATAGAGGGTAGGCTGCCAATATTAAGAAAATTACGGTATCCAAGAAAGATCGTAATAGAAAACAATTCTATGTATGTTTCCTTCTATCTATAGTAGAATGCTAAGGTTTTTTTTCTTCATAAAGAATTATATGAATATATCATAATAAAGAACGGTTGACAGCGACACGGGGACATGGAAATTCACAATTTGTTACTTGTCAGACTGTGTAGATTGCGATTGCGAAACTTCCCTGGAAAAAGATTGTCATGAAATTGTGTTATATTGAATAATCAGCAATGAATGGTTGGGAAATTGCACACTATATATGCTGCTATTTTAGTTCTCCACGGGAAGAAATCATCAATATATAATGAATGAAGACGTATATGAAACTAGCACAGTATAGGGCAATGGTTTGCCATAAGTCATCTGAATAATGTATGAGTGATGAAGACCTTTTAGAATAGTCGCTTTAACTGATTGATACAATGACTGTGGTGCCAGTTCTGTTCAGGAATGTGTTACAGACGTATACAAATTGGTGCAAAATAATTTACATTGATCTTATATTATGAATTTATAGGTCAAAATTTCATCAGACTATTATGTCATTGGGTGTGAAGTTTTTACTCCCATGGTTGATAATAAACATTTTCTGGTTTTCATGCCAATTATTTTTGCCCCTGGTGGCTGAGGCATTGCCTTTTACAGGTTGAGGCATCAGAACTGCAGTCACTGTTTATTCCCTTGTGATAGTAAGAGGCAACTAAATGGGTTCCAATTATAGGAGTCTATGCATCTGTTACTGTACTCCAGCATGTGTGGTGGTTTTGAGCCCTGGTGTTGCTTTAAGTTTGTAACACCCAAGTCTGTTTCAGCGCCAAATGACCTTATCTGTGTTGGTGAGCTTTAAAACCAAACCAAAAAAAAAAATTATCACATGTTTTGGTAATATCTCTGCAATCTGTTCACCTAACAGACTTTCCTGTATTATTAACTTCACTAAATATTTTGAATGGACTTGTCCTTCTTTCAATCTGGACTAAACCATTTATTAACATAAGGAAATATTTCAAGTTATGCACTGCATGAAAAACGACCAATGCGTTAGTCTGCATTGGTCATATGGGAACATCCAGTCACAGAGAGCTGTTTGAAGAGTTAAAATAAAATGTAAACAAAATTACAGTTCCCCTCACAGATGAGCTGAAATATATGTCCAGTTTTTCCATGTGGTCAAAAGGAATGATTGACAGAAGAGAAATTGTCAATAAATCATCATTGTAGAATATATATTTAGGAAATAGATATCAATATTCACTGTGATGTTATAGGAAATAGATATCAATTTTGAGTGCATTGTTGTAGAATTATACACGGTTCAGGATATAAGTAATCACAAATGCCGATTGGTCTGAGTGATAAATTACGAAGCATTTAAACCATAAATCCTGCATTATTTAATACAAAAGCACATCAAAAAATTGATATCTTTTTCCATTCTGACATGCTTATATAAAAGAGAATAATTGAGATAAGTAATTGAGTCACATGGGGAAAAAATGTGCAGCCTGACCGGGACTCGAACCCAAGGCTCTACGGACTGAGCTATCTGGTTGCTTACTCATCCGAAAATTTTGTAACTTATAAAGTCTTACTTTGGAAAAATTTTGAAACTTGTGAAGTTTTACTTTGGAAAATTTTGAAAGTTGTAGAGTCTTACTTTGGGAAAATTTTGAAACTTGTGAAATAAAGAGGGAGTTGCTCTACAGAGGGGACCACACTGTAGAGGTTTAACTGTATTATGTTTAGTGAGGGTAAAAATTCAATTGTTTGTAGAGTGATATAAACTTACAGAGTTAGATTGTTTATTATAACAGGTGGAGAGAGAAATAGCTATCATGAAGCTGATCGAACATCCACATGTGCTCGGCTTGTTTGATGTCTATGAAAACAAAAAATATTTGTAAGTATCATCTCTTTATGTTATACTATATTGATAGTGTATACAGGCCTCGACATTAGCGGTGGTCCGTTGGTCCGAGACCACCAGATTTTTGCAAGGACCACCTAATTTTAAAAGCCGCTGGTCCGTCGGACCACTTGAATTTTCTGGTTGGTGCAGACTCATTTGGGAGAATGGTACGTGATTTGGTCAAAAACATGTTCTAAACATTTTCTTTAAAATCATTTGTCCGATGTCAAGTATATGGTTCATTAATTATCTGATTAGTTAAAGAAGTTCTTTAGTCAATAACTTTCATTTTAAGTCGCTAAAATTTGGTTTATGCAAGTTAAAAGAGTTTAGACTTTGTGATATCAATTAAGGTACAAAATTCATTCAAATGATGCTAATAATTATGCATCGTCGGATGGAACCAGTAACATTTATGTTATATTACATGTTAATTAACCGTGGGCATCCGACGATGTAATTATGATATTGTATGGGATATAAGATAAACTTAAAATTTCATATACTTAAATAATGGCAGCAAACAAAAGGAACTGGAAAAATACATCTAGTAATTCTTTGCTACTTATCTTTATTTTAACTGTTTAACGATAGAGATCCATTTCCTGTAGAGTTAACATTACTTTAAAAGGTTAAAAATACTCATGTTAAAAATAAATATCAACCAACAAGCAACAGGGAGGTAAAAATTCGGTATTATACATCTGTGAGAAAAATAAGCTAAACTATAGTTATATATAACATTAGTATTATTTTTTTTATCCTCTAGCTATTTCCTTGTTTTAAGATAATTTATTAGTTTTATTAAAAATGATAATCTATAAAAGATACATGTAATTATCATAATTAAAGTCGTACCACATATCAGCAATGAATTTATGAATAACAAATTGAATAAGAAAATTACAGACACAAATTGTTTCACTATTCCCTAACTTGAGTTGAGAGAGAAATCACTTCAATATAAAAGTAAACATAAATAAGAGCCCTGTTGTGTATTTTTGAAAGACATATAAAAAAAACAAATAACTTTATGATAAAATACCTACTAACTTGCTCTCCTATATTTCTGATTAGATAAAAATATATATCTAAAATATCTGTTTTCTTAAGGTTAATGATACATCTTTGTCATCAATTTTAAACATATTTTTTTCTAATTTTGCAGTAAAATGACATAATAATAATTGACCACCTGACTCCTGGAAGGACCACCTTAATTTCAAATCTAGTGGTCCGGCTAACCACCTGCTAAAAAAGTTAGTGTCGAGGCCTGGTATATAATGATTATAATGAGATGGAGTGGGGGAGCTCCTTGTGGTATAGATAATGGCATAATGAATCACACCCTGCTTGCAGCTGTGTGTTTGAATCTGTCAGACGTTTGAAATTTTAAATGTGAGGAAGTCTTCTCAATAAATTTTTGTGCCCCCACGTTAGTGGCGGGCATTTAGATTTACCCTTGTCCGTCCGTCCTTCCGTCCGTCCGTTCGTTCACTTTTGTGTTGCACGTAACTCAAAAAGTATTTGCCCTAGAGTCATGAAACTTTACAGGAATGTTGATCAGCATGTGTAGTTGTGCACCTGGGTATTTTCGTCTGGATATTTTTAGTATTTTTAGAGTTATTGCCCTTGACTTAGTAAAATTTTGCAATTTTCAACTTGTGTCGCATGTAACTCAAAAAAGTATTTGACCTAGAGTCATGAAACTTTACAGGAATGTTGATCAGCATGTGCAGTTGTGCACCTGGGTATTTTCGTCTGGATATTTTTAGTATTTTCAGAGTTATTGCCCTTGACTTAGTAAAATTTTGCAATTTTCAACTTGTGTCGCATGTAACTCAAAAAGTATTTGACCTAGAGTCATGAAACTTTACAGGAATGTTGATCAGCATGTGTAGTTGAGCACCTGGGTATTTTCGTGTGGATATTCTTAGTATTTTCAGAGTAATTGCCCTTGACTTAGTAAAATTTTGCAATTTTCAACTTGTGTCGCATGTAACTCAAAAAGTATTTGCCCTAGAGTCATGAAACTTTACAGGAATGTTGATCAGCATGTGTAGTTGTGCACCTGGGTATTTTCGTGTGGATATTTTTAGTATTTTCAGAGTTATTGCCCTTGACTTAGTAAAATTTTGCAATTTTCAACTTGTGTCGCATGTAACTCAAAAAGTATTTGACCTAGAGTCATGAAACTTTACAGGAATGTTGATCAGCATGTGTAGTTGTGCACCTGGGTATTTTCGTGTGGATATTTTTAGTATTTTCAGAGTTATTGCCCTTGACTTAGTAAAATTTTGCAATTTTCAACTTGTGTCGCATGTAACTCAAAAAGTATTTGACCTAGAGTCATGAAACTTTACAGGAATGTTGATCAGCATGTGCAGTTGTGCACCTGGGTATTTTCGTCTGGATATTTTTAGTATTTTCAGAGTTATTGCCCTTGACTTAGTAAAATTTTGCAATTTTCAACTTGTGTCACATATAACTCAAAAAGTATTTGACCTAGACTCATGAAACTTTACAGGAATGTTGATCAGCATGTGTAGTTGTGCACCTGGGTATTTTCCTGTGGATATTTTTAGTATTTTTAGAGTTATTGCCCTTGACTTAGTAAAATTTTGCCATTTTCAACATGTGTTGCAAGTAACTCAAAAAATATTTGACCTAGAGTCATGTAACTTTACAGGAATATAGATCAGCATGTGCAGTTGTGCACCAGGTATTTTCGTACCGGATTTATTTAGAATTTTTAGAGTTATTGCCCTTCAATTAGAAACTTTTTGCAATTTTCAACTTGTGTCGCAAGTTACTCAAAAAGGATTTGACATAGTCATTAAACCTTATGGGCAGGTTGCTCAGCATATTTAGATTTGTACCTGGGGTTTCGCTTGTCGATTTATCCAGTATTTGTAGAGTTATTTCCCTTGACTTAGTAAAAAGATTGACAGAACAGTTGCGCGGTGGGGGCACCCGTGTCCTATGGACACATTTCTAGTTTATGATAATTCTTCCTGAAATTAAAACACTAAGGTCTTTTCCGAATTCATTGACAAAAATCACTGTTCCCACCATCAGCAATTCTGAAACTTAGCCTTACCATGGTCTCAATAACATTGTCTTTATACTTGAAAATACAAATTCCAAGAGTGGTTAAGGTTATTGACTTCAAACTACTAACCCCTCACCCCTGTAGATTCGAATCCCGACAGGGACTTTGGATTCTTTCATGTGAGGAAGCAATCCAGCTACCTTAAGGAACGACAGTGGTTCTACTCAGGTGCCCGTTGGTGCCTTAAATAATGCATGGAAGGGCACCTGAGGTCTTTGTACACCAGTGAAGCTGGAACGCGGCTATATAACTTATACTGTGTTGTTGTGACAATGAAAGAGACTGGTGGATTGGCAACCAAAATATGACAGAAAAATCAGTGTAGATACCAGAAATTCAAATAAATAAACACGAGCCACCCCAGCGTATTAGCCCGAAAAAACTCAAATTAATTTTTATTCCAGAGTAAATCTATAACTAAATTTCAGCTTATTTCATAAACATATACCTGTACATAAATATGCACTAGATACTGCATTTTTGTGTTGTGTGTATAAACATATATTTTAAGACTTTGAAAATAAATGATTCCACGTGAAGTATTCAAGATTTTCTGTACCTGTCTGGTTAATTAATGATAACTTTTACAGAATAATTGTGTCTACTTATCTTTATATAAATCAAGATTCAAGAATCAATGACTGCACTGAAAATCTGAATTGAAGGGAGGGATTTATCTGTAATTATTGTATGTCTTCCATACATTCAGTAATGTCTGTATAGAAAAAGTGAAATGAATGGGGAATGTAAAATATGAATTATAGAAGTCAGACAATAGAAGCAAGCTGTAAGAATGATGTCTGTCCAGCCACTGTGGCGGCAACAGATCAAAAACGAATTATGTGTATGCCTGCCAGATTTATATATACTTCTCCCAAGGATTTACCTATAGTGCCACAATTAAATATGCAAGTTGTTTCAAAGGCTTACCAGACCATTGTGTGTTATGTTTTAAACGATAAGGTATTTAATATGTAACATTATATCTTGTGAGTTTGAAATGTCCTTGACCTATAAGGTAATAGTGAGTTTAGAATGACCTTGACATTTAAGGTATTTAGTATTTAACCTGATCAATTATGTCTACTATCATTGTATTTATATAGATAAAGATATTAAAACTCTTTGTATCAAAAATTAAACTTTGACATAAAAAAAACTGCAACCTTAAGTGTATATGACCTTGACCTACTGACCTGCTTATTTTCAAGTTATAACCCTAAAATGTTGATCACATAGTTTAAAGACTTGCTTGTGGAATAATTCTTTATATTGCATGACCTTGAACTTCACCTGATCATTTAAATTTTCATGATTTGAACCCTTGGTATTGGTAACTATGAGTAACTTTTCATATGACCCAGTGACCTACTTCTGCATTATTGATATAATAACTCTGTGTGGCAATACATCTCAGGTGAGATAGGGACATGACCCTGTCGAATTACTTGGTGTAAATTCTGTTGTCCATATTTAAGAATGTAAATAAATTGTTTATGTACAAAAATGCAGATGATAGATCTCAAAAAATGAGTTTTTGCATTGAGACTATTAAAAGTGAGCGTTTGTTTTTAGACTTTCCAATTTTATACTCGCCCTATCACACTAAGATTTGCAAAATTTAACTCGCTTGATACCCAAGTTGGTGGAATTTTCAACCCTTGTCTAGTGTGTAAATAGCCATCATGTTACTCTCTGTACACTGTAGCCTCGATAACTCGCTCTTCACTATAACGCTAATCTCAGTAGAGCGCTTATAGACCTTGGCTCCCAAAAAAAAAAAAAAAAAAAAACTTCCAAAAAAAATAATTTTTTTTTTAAGTAGACTTAGATTTATAGCGCGCTATAACGCTTGCTCAATTTGACTGTCAAGTACAATAAACAATTGTTATTAGGACATTTATGAGCGCCAAAGGTGTGAAAAACATGCCTAGGTAAGTGTTTATTTGCTCTTTTGTTGTTTTACCTGTCGTCAAATTGTTTCCAAAATCTCAAATTCATATCATAACTGTGACATTGGCAACCGGTGGTGAGTATAAATAAACTAAAATTCACACACATATCTTTGACAGGTAAACCTCGCTGAATTAAATAACCCACAAGCCCAAAATCAATTTAAAATCCTACACTGTAAATAGAGCGGCCATGACAGGAAGTAATTAACGTCTGATTTACTAGGGGACACAACTAAAGCTGGACTGTAAATTACAGTGTTATTTACAGTCCAGCTTTAGTTGTGTCCCCTAGTTAATCAAACGTCATTACAGTAATGGCTAACTGTTAGTGTTTACACTACATTCATGATTTATAGTTTTCTTTCGAAAGTTTTTTGTTTCTTTTAAATATAATTAGTATTATTGTGAATATAATACATGTTTACATCATTGAATGGCTTTAGAAAAAGATAATTGTTGATATTCATTGAACAGTAAGTAAAAAAATATCAGCGTTATATATAATATGTGGTGGGTGGGGTAATGCGGTAATTTCGCAATGAGCGTTCTAATGAGAGCCTCGTTAGAACGCGGTGGTGAGACATTGGACCCCAACATGAGCGTTTTAATGAGGCTGAAGTGTATTTTACTATTTCTCATGCAAAAAAAAAAAAGAATGTCTGATAAAAGAGACATACTTTTCTCTTCCAGTAGAGACAGCTTATTACTATAAAGTTTTCACCTGCTTTACAGATGAGGTAAATTTATGACCTAACATTTTTGAAGTATTTTTCTGAAAAAATCGAATTAATACATATATATGTAATACTGATGAAAACAGTCATTACAAATTGTGTATAAGTTTTAGATATTTTTCAAATAACAAACAAACAAATAACCATGTATAAATTTTTGTATTTCAGATATTTGGTGCTTGAACATGTGTCCGGGGGTGAACTGTTTGATTATCTTGTCAAAAAAGGTCGCCTTACACCGAAAGAAGCCAGAAGATTTTTTAGACAAATAATATCTGCTTTAGATTTCTGTCACAGTCACAATATATGGTATGTCTTAAGTTAAGATTTAAGTCATAATTATTATTAAGTATTTGTTGTATGACTGAATTCAGGATACTGTCACAGTCATTACATGTGGTATGTCTGAATTCAGACTTCTGTTGCAGTCATTACATGTGGTATGTCTGAATTCAGACTTCTGTTGCAGTCATTTCATGTGGTACGTCTGAATTCAGACTTCAGTTACAGTCATTACTTGTGGTATGTCTGAATTCAGACTTCAGTTACAGTCATTACTTATGGTATGTCTGAATTCAGACTTCAGTTACAGTCATTACTTATGGTATGTCTGAATTCAGACTTCAGTTACAGTCATTACTTATGGTATGTCTGAATTCAGACTTCAGTTACAGTCATTACTTATGGTATGTCTGAATTCAGACTTCAGTTACAGTCATTACTTATGGTACATCTGAATTCAGACTTCAGTTACAGTCATTTCTTATGGTATGTCTGAATTACAGTCATTATACCCCTTATATAATTATAATTATTAACCAACCAACCAATAAGTTGTACCTTTAAAAAGCAGATACCCTGGCCATTGCACTTTATTCCTGTTTATTGATGCAGCCAGAAATAATGTCAACTTTTAAGAGTTTAGCTGGAACACATTAGAATACCGATACTGATTTATGTCCTACTGTGCTGAACTGGAACAAACATTTTATTTACCGTATGATTCTGTCGCCTTTGATTAAAACTATGCTTACAGTGTATATATAAACAACAGCCTTTTCTAATAATGGCAAATAAAAAATATTTTTTCCTGTTTACAAGGGGTTGTTGACCTTTTTATATTGGAAGAAGAAAATTCTTTCCAATTATGTCTCCCCATTTTAGAATGAATTTGGCTAATGGGTTAAGAATCAATACTTTGTAGCAAGTGTGTGTGTAATATCTTAGTTTGCATTATAGAGAATGATGTTACACTGAGGAAAGACGTTACGATACTGTACTGGGAGATAATACTGTACTCTGGGAGATATATACCAAGAAGTTGACTGTGTGTAGATATAAATATATGATTGACAAATGCTACAAATGTATCTGACATAACTAATTGCTTGTGTCAGTAGTCATAAAGCCCTGAAATAAATTACTTGTTTCATATTTTTGTATGATTGTCATATACTCATTCACACAGTGAATGTCATGCACAGAAGGTTGAGTTTCTCTTCAAAAAAGCAATATTTATTGCTGGAAAATAATTATGTTTTCATTGTATAACATTCAGCAAATTAAATAAATGAGGCCTACCTAGGGAATGATATAATAACATTGATAATTGTTACATATGAGTTCACAGCTACCTTGATTTAAAGTGAATTGGTCTATAATGGAAGGTCTGTAATACAATGAATAATTATGTTGAAAATTTAACAGTAAACTGTTGGTCACTTTATTAACATTTGTTAATGTATTATGTTGAAAATAGTTCCTATGGGTAAATCAGTTGATCACTTAACTTACATTTGTCAATGTATTATGTTAAAGTCAATTAATTTACATTTGTGAACAATTTATTGTGTCAAAAACAGTTCCTATTGGTTAAAAAGCCTATGGGTTAAGCAGTTGATCATTCAATTTACATTTTGTCAATGTATTATGTTGAAAACAATTCCTATAGGTTAAACAGTAAACTGTTGGTCACTTAATTTACATTTGTTAATGTATTATGTTGAAAAAAGTACCTATGGGTTGGTCACTTAATTAACATTTGGCAATGTATTATGTTGAAAACAGTTTCCTTTCCTAACAATTACATTTGTCAGTTTATTTTACAGTAAACATGTATTTTGTGTTACATAGTTGTTCACAGTGTTTAATGAGTCATGTTTCAGTAATTGTTTATTGTTGGAACATGCAGTATTCTGCAGTAACTGGAGAATTGATGCATGATATATCGCGTTGATATCGGACAGAAAACATTTTGTTCATAATTCTTATCAATACATCTATTGATTATTAAGACAGTAGTTTATATAAATGGTTTAAAGCACCATTTAGCCTGGAAAAAATCTATTTATTTTTATTTTTGCAAAAGCTGTTTTTAGCTCAACTAAGCGAAAAGGTTTTGTGATGGCAGTATGTCCTTTGTTCACCTTCCGTCGCCCTCCACAATTTCTTTAAACATACATTGCCACCTAAACCACTTGGAAGATTTTGACCAAACTTCACAAGAATGGTCCTATACAAAAGGAATATAAATGGTCCCACAAGTAGGTCACAAGAGCAAAAAAAAGACTTAAAATGAGACCTTTAAGAACTACTTTTCAGAAACTGCAATGCCCAGAACTCATATAGTAAAACACATTCAATAAAGTCTTCTCGTGTGAAATTGCATTGCCAAGAGTTTAGATATTTGTCATTAAGCACTTCATACCAGACATCTACAAATATTTTGAAAACTTATGCAGATGTGGTAAAAAATGACAAATGTATTATACCTGCACTTAATGACTGACTTTTGTATTAAATAATAAAACTATCCATGTTTCTAGAAATTAATTAATGCTTGTTAACCTTCCAGGGTCATCATGAAAAGAAATGTGAACATCAAATGAAAGTCATACATCATATTAAATTTCTTAATAACATCATTTAAAGAAAGTGCAGGGAAAAATTACTTAGAACTGTTGGAGTCAGTCTACAATCTATCATCTAGAAAAATATATGAGACATCAAAGTAATGACACATTTACTGTTTGAGTAATACACATCATCAAATATTTATGGCGATAATTTACTACTTAACTGATGCAAGATGTACTATTTTTAGTGCAATATTAAAATTTGCAGCTTCATCAATTAAGTTTAATTGCATAACAAGGACATTTTAATACTGTATATTTTCTGATAAAGTGCACCCCCAGTTTGTATATTTTGGACTGCGATAGTTAAACTTTAAAACATTTTCAATTATAGGCAGTAAATAAGGAACAAAAAAAAGGTTAAATATTATCAAAATAGAAATAGATTTTACTGTTTTTGTGCTATTTTCTGCTTGAATATTAATATACTGGAAATGCCAGCTTTGATAAAATTTGTGCTAATTTCCTGATATTATTAATGATAATAATTTCCTATTGTCTTGGCAATTTAGTTTTCTTTTTCTTTGTCAAAAAGGGGTGGGGTGTTTATTAGGGAAGTGGAATTTATTAGAGAATATTGAAGCAATGAAATAATTTAATTTCTTGCATGAAAAAAAATTGATGTTTATACATTCTACATAATTTGTTTATTGTTGACACATACTTAAAAGGTCATGTTACAACCATGTATCATAATGTCAAGTTAAAATTGTTACATTGCCAAACAGATTCATATACAGGTCCATTGGATATAGTGCACACAACTTATGGTAGTGGTCAGATGGCTGATAACTGTGACACCAAAATGGAGTAGCATGTTCTTTATATACAATTGTATAATTATTGTCAAATTTATCTTTATATCACCACTGACAGGCTATTCATGTTTGTTTGAAACTATATTTAAACTGTATTTTTAACTATAAATTCACTTAATTTCGTTGAAATAAAATTTCAAGGTTTTGTCACAAAGGTCAGTTTTTGGGTTTTGTGAAATCATGGATTGCATATTTTTGCAAAAAGTTAAATGCGAAAAATGCAATTAAAAATCATCTGACAGCAGACTAAATGAAATTTCGTTAGCTCTTAAATTCATGGATTAGCATCATCCACAAAAACTGTGAAAATTAGTGTGCTATGAAAAATAATGATTTAGCAGTATTAAAGCTTTTCTTTTATCAATGATCTTGAACAGATATTGATTGATTTTGTTTATCAAATGAAACAATCTTGTGTTTCATTAAATTAATATTATTGATGACATATTTAAATCAGATTTTTTTTGTTGCAATAATTTGTTGCTATGACGATATTGTTCAAGTTTCTGTTACAGAAACTAGATCAGGGAAAGCTAATATTTTGCTGTAGTAGGATTTTGCAATTTCAATAAAATAAAAAAAGAGATTAACAACAAAATTCAAAAGAGCCAAAGAATTTTTTTCCATCCACTTAATCATTCATAGATTATTCCTTAAGCTGCTGGTACCACATGTATTTTGCCTTTTGTTACCAATGTATTGGCAAGGCCTGAGGCCAGGCTAAGGTCATTTGTGCAGTCTGACCAAGCTCTATAACGTTGGTAACTCAGTATTAGCACTCTGATTTAGAAATCCCTTAAACTTTGAATGGACTGTTCCAACTTCAAAGCCAGGCAAATCCATTAAAAAAAAATTCAGCAGAGTAAGGGTCAAAGAATAGTTTTGAGAATATGGTACATTGTTTGTTTGTAATTCAGTATGTTTCATCATACTGCCATTTGAGGACATTGTATGTTTCGTAACGCTGCTATTAGAGGACATTGTATGTTTCATAAAACTGCCATATTAAGAGGACATTTATTACTCTGAAACATGCAAAGACAAGTCAGACAAGAGATGGTTTTTTCTATTTTGTTTGTAAGATGTAGAAATTCAAAGGCTGTCAATTAAGCGAAGAAGACATAAGAGCGTTCTGCGTTGCTGTAGGTTGTTTTTTATCTAAGACGGTAATCTTGTTTGTTTCTGTTTCAGTCATAGAGATTTAAAGCCGGAGAATTTGTTACTTGACGAGAAAAATAATATAAGAGTTGCTGATTTTGGAATGGCATCATTGCAAGTGGAAGGCTCAATGCTTGAAACAAGTTGCGGGTAAGTTGTTTTTTTTACCTCTTTACACCTTCTGAAGTCAAAGAATAAACTCTGTAGACACCCTGGAGTGTACAATTTAGTTTTGTCAACCTTGTAAATTTTATGGGAGGTTTTTATTACACTCTGTCATTGTCAGAAGGGATTTTTGTCATATTCAGAGGGGATTTTTTGCCCATCCTGTCATTTTCATAGGAGGTCTTTTTGTAGCCTTGTCATTTTCATTTGAGGGGTTTTGTCTGCCCAGTCATTTTCATTGGAGAGCTTTTGTTCACTATATCATTTTTGGATGGGAAAGTTTTTATCTTGTGGGTCTTTTGCATGCTTTTATATATATATCAGAAATATGTTAGAAGTAGGGATGGCAACGTGTAACCAGTTAAACAAGTACTTAATTACGCATCATAGTATCTTTTAAGAAAGTTGATACTTAGGTACTAAGAAGAAAACAAGTATCATTTCATTTATCCGTCATCAGTATAATTATTTTGAAGAGAAAATATATTTAAAACAATGTGCAGAAGTGCACAAATTTTGTTATAAAATGACAACGGTTAACTTCTGAACTTGGTAATCAACAGTTTTAGAACAGGTGTGTGTTATAAACAACAAGCTCTGTCGCTGTATGTTTTTGATCTCTTATGACATTAATTACCAAAGAGTGTATTTCAGAAGTTTGTTTTAAGGCGCTTATGGGCTAATTGCTTTCAATATCATCAGATTTAAGTGATTTATAAGAGGCAAGTCAATGATATATTTCTTTATTCTCAAGGTCCCATTTGATTTCTGAGACCTCAATTCGATTATTTTTCGATTTGATTCATGTCTATAGATTACTAATATCATCAGAATGACATCAGAATCAAATCGACGTCAACAAAACCAGTTTTCAATGCATCGGAATAAATCGTTACACCTCTAGTTAGATTCCTATACCATTCATACTTGTTTCAGGGGCATAAACATACTTGTTTCAGAGGAGCACTAGTTACCAAAATAGGCTTTTCTTCTAAATGACATGTTTCTGTAAGTGTTGTTGAATCAGTGAACAAGCTTAGACAACACTATTGTTATGATACATGTACATAAAGCAGTATGATTGTACAGTATAATTAGACGGTAACTAGAATGATCATGTATAAATATATATTCCTAGGTCGCCACATTATGCCTGCCCAGAAGTTATAAGGGTAAGGTGAAAGTATTGTTTGTGTCTGTGTTGTGAACTTTTATTTTTGTGTGCTTTTAGCTTGCCTCACTTGTTACGATTGTTACCAGAATAATCGCCGCTTTTTTTTTCTTGAAGAAGTTTTGTGGTTGCTTTTTAGACCAGAAGTCAGAATTGCCTGCAATAAGATGTAATATGTATTTATAATAATTAATGATTATCATTTTGATTTTTGTGAAGTATTAGCTAACAATTAAGAATCAGTTTGTGAGAACTTCCATTACATTTTTATATGCCCGAAAGAATTTCGGGCATATTATGTTATACCCCCTGGCGTCCGTCCGTCCGTTAGCAATTTGGTTTCCGGAGCATAACTGAAGTTCCATTTGGCCATAATATTCACACTTCATAGGATGATTGCCCATATTGGAGAGAAGACCCCTATTGATTTTGGGGTCACAAGGTCAAAGGTTAAGGTCACTGTTAACTTAAAACTGAAAACAGTTTTCGGAACATAACTTAAGTTTCATTTGGCCCACTGTGTTTTAACTTCATAGTATGATTGTCCATATTGGGTAGAAGACCCCTATTGATTTTTGGGTCACAAGGTCAAAGGTCAAGGTCACTATTACCTTAGAACTGAAAACAGTTTCCGGGGCATAACTTAAGTTCCATTTGGACCACAATATTGAAACTTCAAAGGAGGATTGTTATTTGAAGGGGGGTAATACTTTATTTAATTCCCATGTCTTACAAATGGTTCATCTTAATTAAAAAAAAAAATCACTTTTGGGCATATAATGCTCCGCCTAGTGGTGCTCTTGTTATTTAATTGCTGTGGTCCAATTGATAGATTTTCATGATACATGGACCAAGTGTTATTTTAATTACAAAGTATGCGCTACAAATATTCAATTGGCATGCAAACAAAAATGCATGAATGTTGTTTTGTTTGCTTTTTTTAGCTCACCAGAGCCAAAGGCTCAGGGTGAGCTATTAGTATCAAAGGGGGATGCTCCGGCGTCCATCGTCATGCGTCAACAATCGTCTTCTTCTCTGAAACTACTGGGCAGATTTACTTCAAATTTGGTCTGTAGCATCCTTGTGACAGTCACACTTGAATTTGCTCATGTCATTTCAATTGGCCCCTTTTAGGGGTCAGCAAAGCTAAAAATAGAAAAACCTTTAAACATCTTCTTCTACAGAACTAATGGATGGATGATCACCAAACTTTGTCTGTAGCATTCTTAGGTAGTGTTTTATCAAGTTTGCTCATATTAATTTGATTGGCCCCTTTTAGGGGTCTCTAGGGCTAAAATAGAAAAACCTTTAATCATCTTCTTCTACAGAACTAATGGATGGATGATCACCAAACTTTGTCTGTAGCATTCTTAGGTAGTGTTTTATCAAGTTTGCTCATATTAATTTGATTGGCCCCTTTTAGGGGCCGCAAAAGCTAAAAATAGAAATACCTTTAAATGTCTATTTCTAGAGAACTAATTGATGGATGATCACCAAACTTTGTCTGTAGCATTCTTGGGTAGTCTTTTATCAAGTTTGCTCAAATTAATTTGGTTGGCCCCTTTTAGGGGTCTCTAGGGCTAAAAATAGAAAAACCTTTAAACATCTTCTTGTACAGAACTAATGGATGGATGATCACCAAACTTTGTCTGTAGCATGCTTGGGTAGTCTTTTATCAAGTTTGCTCATATTAATTTGATTGGCCCCTTTTAGGGGCCGCAAAAGCTAAAAATAGAAATACCTTTAAATGTCTATTTCTAGAGAACTAATTGATGGATGATCACCAAACTTTGTCTGTAGCATTCTTGGGTAGTCTTTTATCAAGTTTGCTCATATTAATTTGATTGGCCCCTTTTAGGGGTCTCTAGGGCTAAAAATAGAAAAACCTTTAAACATCTTCTTCTACAGAACTAATGGATGGATGATCACCAAACTTTGTCTGTAGCATTCTTGGGTAGTCTTTTATCAAGTTTGCTCATATTAATTTGATTTGCCCCTTTTAGGGGCCGGCCGCAAAAGCTAAAAATAGAAATACCTATAAATGTCTATTTCTAGAGAACAAATTGATGGATGATCACCAAACTTTGTGTGTAGCATTCTTGGGTACTCTTTTATCAAGTTTGCTAATATTATTTTGATTGGCATCTTTTAGGGTCCGCTAAAGCTAAAATAAGAATTGCCTTTAAACGTCTACTTCTACAGAACTAATTGATGGATGATCACCAAACTTTGTATGTAGCATTCTTAGATAATTTGTTATCAAGTTTGCTTATATTAACTTGATTGGCACTTTTTTTGGGGCCCGCTAAAGCTAAAAATAGAAATACCTATAAATGTCTATTTCTAGAGAACAAATTGATGGATGATCACCAAACTTTGTGTGTAGCATTCTTGGGTACTCTTTTATCAAGTTTGCCAATATTATTTTGATTGGCCCCTTTTAGGGGTCTCTAGAACTAAAAATAGAAAAACTTTTAAATATCTTCTTCTACAGAACTAATGGATGGATGATCACCAAACTTTGTCTGTAGCATTCTTGAATAGTGTTTTATCAAGTTTGCTCATATTAATTTGATTGGCCCCTTTTAGGGGCCGCAAAAGCTTAAAATAGAAATACCTATAAATGTCTATTTCTAGAGAACAAATGGATGGATGATCACCAAACTTTGTCTGTAGCATTCTTGGGTCGTCTTTTATCTAGTTTGCTTTTATTAATTTGATTGGCCCCTTGTAGGGGCCGCAAAAGCTAAAAATAGAAATACCTTTTAATGTCTATTTCTACAGAACTAATTGATGGAAGATCACCAAACTTTGTCTGTAGCATTAATGGGTAGTCTTTTATCAAGTTTGCTCATATGAATTTGATAAGCCCCTTTTAGGGGCCGCTTAAGCTAAAAATAGAAAAACCTTTAAATGTCTATTTCTACAGAACTAATGTATGGATGATGACCAAACTTTGTCTGAAGCATTGTTGGGTAGTCTTTTATCAAGTTACGACTTGGGAATTCCTTTAAAAGTCTTTCTACAATTTAAAGAAGATAAAAACTTTTTTCTGTCATAGGAAAACCATTTGCCATGGAATGTAGTCCCTTGAAATGTTTTTAGTTATTTCAAAAAGTAAGGTTACAGAACTTTTTGTTAATAACCCAAAGAAATTCCCCTTTTTTTGTTAAAAAAATTAATTTATTCTATTTTTTTAAAAAAACTAATTAAGGTTCAAAAGTCACTGTGTAAATCCTTGCCCTATATAATTGAGAAATAAATAGCTTAAAAATTTTTGGGGGTTTGGGGATTCCCAAATAACCCCCTAGATTTGGGGTAGTCTTTTATCAAGAAATAATGGGTAGTCTTTTATCAAGAACATTATTTTTCTTTTTTAGTATTTCACAAAGTGAAGGGTGTTTTTGACCCCCGCCCCGGGCCCCCTGGCCTCCGGTTTAAATTTTTTGTTTTAAATGCATTTTAAAAACCTTGACCAATTCATAAATTAAGAATTTTTTTTTGGGGGCCCTTTTAAAAATTTTTAAAAAATTTTTTAACCCCATGCAAACAGTCCTGGCAAACCGAAAGAAAAACTTTAAAATTTTTTTTAAAAAACCCTAAGAGTTTAGAGTTAATATTTGCATGAAAAATCTTTTGTTTCTAAAGTTTTTCAAATTAAAACCCTGGGGGTCAATTGGCCCCCGCCCCATTTCTTTTTGATTTCCCATTAAAATATAGTAAAAATTAAAAACCCTTTCTTTAAAGAAAAAAGCAGGTTTTTGAAAAAAATTTCCCCTGTCACCAAATTTGTTAAAAAAATTCAAAATTGGCCCCCAGGGGTTCTTGGATTTTCCTTATATGTATATGGCAAAAACTATTAAAAATCTTCTTTGAAAAAAACCCATGATAGCTAGAGTTTTTTGATATTAAGCATGAAACATCTTCTAATCAGTGTCTACAAAGTTTGTTCAAATAAAAGCCCCAGGGTCAAAATTGGCCCTGCCCCGGGGGTCATTGATTTTCCTTTTTTGTGTATAGCAAAAACTTAAAAATCTTCTTTGAAAAAACCCAAATAGCTGGAGTTTAGATATTAAGCATGAAACATTTTTTAGTAAATATCTACAAAGTTTGTTCAAATAAAAGCCCGGGGGTCAAAACTGGCCCTGCCCCAGGGGTGTCATTGTTTTTAACTATATGTGTATAGTAAAAACTTAAAAAATCTTCTTTTAAAAAAACCCAATGAGCTAGAACTTAGATGTTTAGCATGAAACGTCTTCTTATGGGCGTCTACCAAGTCTGTTCAAATAAATAAATAAAAGCCCTTGGGTAGGGTAAAAATTGGCCCTGGGGGGGGGGGGGGTTGGGCTATATACAGGTGAGCGACCTCAGGGCCATCATGGCCCTCTTGTTTTTTGTTTAGATTGATCACAAGCATGTGCACTTAAATTTTCTGTTGTTGTTGTAGTTTCTTTTTAATGTAAGATGAAATTGTTACTGTATGTAAAACAAAAAATCTCATTGATGAACAGGTTTGCAATATTGTACCCTTTTATTTTTGTATCATTTTTTATTTTCATTAAAATTTTATAATTTGTAGACTATAATATTATTGTCTTCAAGTTAAAATGGACTTTATGACATATTTAAATATTCATATATGTATATATAAAAATTATTTTACGGAATCAACTAAAGCTATGAGCAGAAAGTTTGAATCTAGTTATTTTATAATTATGTTGATTATGAAACTTTCAATCTAACGTATGACACAGATCAGACTGTAAACAAATTGTTTTGAATCTATATGTGGGATATTTGCAGGTAACCATGAACCAGTCAACAATTTTACAAATCTATTTATAAACTGTTGTCAAGCAGAAACATTTTCTTCCCTGGATAAGTTATATCATAATCAAACACACACTTTAAATGATTTATAGCAGGCATAAATTTTGTCATTATGACAAAATGTTTCTTAACTGATAGCAGCTTTTATAGATTCCAATTAGGTTATAAAATTGTTTATTTGTTTTGTACCTCTTTAGATCATTTGAGTGCTGTGTGCAAATAAAAGCTTCTCGCAGTCTATTATTGTATTCCTTTTTATATGCCCCTCTTCAAAGAATTCAGGGTTATATTGCTATGCACTTTGTTGGAACTAAATAATTTGTCTTCAAGAATTTTATACCATTTGATGTAGGTCTATAGATACCAGTAACTTATAGACCTTTTATATAGGTAGCTAGCATGAATCTGTCTCATTTATTTGGGTCAAGGGGTCATCAAGGTCATCAAGGCTAAAACCAGTTTCTTCTATCAGCAATTTTCTTTATTCCTCATGGAGTGTTTATTTATTGTCTGATATATTTGGTATAAAGGTTACAACATTTCATGGAAATCTACCCAAATATTGAGTTTTGAGGTCACTAAAGGCAAGGATCAAATGTGTATGATTGTATATTTAGGCTAAGCTTTGTCTATGTTGTTCTTACCTACAACTTAAATGGACTTGTCTATCTTTCAATCTCTACAAAACCATTCATTGTTTTAGGGAAAATTACAAAATCTTTAGCGACTGACTGAATAGGGAACAGTGCAGAACATGATCAGAAGGCACAGTTGTGTGGGCACTGGTCACCTGGTTAGATTCAGTTGCCAGTAGCAGGCCACGGGTTAAGCAGAAAAAGTTGTAGTGTATGTTTGGTCTCTAGTGACTAAAAAAACAAAACAAAACTAAGCAGAAAGTTTATATAATGATGTTAGATTTTATTAATATATTTCAGGGTGAGAAATATGATGGTAGGAAAGCAGACGTGTGGAGTAGTGGTGTTATACTTTATGCACTTTTAGTGGTAAGACTAGTTTTATAGAATAATATGCGTGTAATATCTGTTGATATCATGAAAAGATTTCACCATTTTACAAAGCAATGGCACCTCATTGAACCAATGGCCACACACTAAACCAATTGGTCTCTTAGTATGTGGTGTCACTTCCATATGTAAAGAAACCTATGAAAATCATCTTGTTAAAATCTGTTGGTTAGTTTTAGACACAGGCTGAAACAATACATTTAAAGCCCGAGCTCTCAGGGTGAAGGATTTTAAAAGTCCAAGGGCTTCTGCAGATGTTAATGCTCGAAAAAAGGTGCATAAACCCTCTATTTCAAGGGTTGTGTTTCCCAGCATATTCATAGAAAAAACTTTGAACTCTCCCTATCGCTCAGGTGAGTGATATAGGGCCACCACGGCCCTCTTGTTTGTCTCCATGTGCTTATTGCAAGCAAACATATTTAAAGCTGCACCCATGAGAAAATTTCTTTCACAGATTTAAAACTATTCCTCGCTAGAATTTTTTCTCCGTGCCACACAAATAGATTATTTATGGAAAACATTAACACTTTTCAATTTGAAGGAATGAGTTAACCTTCAAACAAAATGTCTTCAGAATGTCTTTATGCTCATGGAAATAGGTCAGTCTCAAATTTGCACTTTTAAAGTGAATCATTTAAATTCTGTAAAATAAGTAAATACATGTACAATGTATATAAATTAAGCCTTTGAAATCAGATATGTAAAAGGAATTTGTATTTGTAAGCTTATACATATGATTTAAAACCGATTGAATGCCTGTATATGGATGATTATAGTATAAACAAGTTCCCTATGTCACAGGGTGAGAAAAAATGTGCATCCTGACCGGGACTCGAACCCAGGACCCTCACAATACCATTTTGCAGCTCTACCGACCGAGCTATATGGCACTTACATATCTTCTCCTCTTAATAGTGAATAGTTCTGAACCATGACATACTCCCTCGCTATATTGAAATTCGTCCCCGAATATCTTAGGGTTACAGAGCAATGTTCATTAAACTCTGAGCTATACCAGTACTCAGTCACTGCCCCATGTTGGGCGCCAAATGTTACAGGGTGAGAAAAATGTGCAGCCTGACCGGAACTTGAACTCGGCACCCTCAGAATACTGTTCTGGGGCTGTACCGACTGAGTTATACGGTGCTTACATATCTTCTGGCTTTAATAGTGAACAGTTCTAAACCGTGACACCTATAAAAAACAAAAGACAAGACTCAATGCATTAAGGGTCCAGTAACTCGGGTATCATTCTGGTACTTACAAGAACATGATCATCAAAGGGGTATTATAAATTTGTTTGCCTGTTTTTTTATGATGATTTTAACACCTTTTTGGTCATATCTTGGTGGTTGGACCACTGCACAGGTTTTCCTGGGTTACCCAGGGTAACTAACCAGTTATTACCAGTTTCTCTACAAGTGACTGACAACTAATCCCATGATTTCTGAATCAGTGACAAGACATTTTTAATTTGTCTGTTTTTGAAGAAAAAGTCAAGCTGTTGTGATGGCTGTGTTGGCGTCGTGAAGCAAAAATTTTAATATAGCCCATTGTTTAAACATTTTAAAGATAATCAACATGAGTCGTGGAAAACTTTCTAATCATTGCAAGGTTAAGTTGTTGTATAATTGGCATAATCCTAAAAGCTGTATTTTGGAGTGATGCTCCTTTTTAACTTTAGAATTTTTGTCATACATGTAATTGGTTATTGAAAGTCATTGCCCTGGTAGTAGATGAGCGTTAGGACCCCATGAGGTGCTCTTGTTTAGTAACTGTTTGACTCATTGTCAGAGATCAATTGTCAATAATTGTCACCCAAGAAATAGACCTGCTGGGTAATTTAAGAAATAAAATTAAAGCAAAATTTGTACTGAAAATGGTTTCAGATTAACAAGTCTTGCCCTAAATGCTCAATCTTACATACAAAATGTTCCAATTCATTGTCCATAGAAGGTATTATTGACCTGAAAACTTAAAAAGACGAGATATATGTGGTCTGGAGAGGTAGAGATCAAAGATCACAGAATAATTAAACGATTTTTCCTGAAGTTTGAATAAATGGCAAGAAAACAAAAAAAAATCAGAGATTTTAGATTGCTGAAGTGAAGATCAGTGGTTTGTTATATTGATTACTCATCGAGGATCACCTCGTATCTGTTAGACAATCATTTCTCTCATTATTTTGTGTTTTCTACAAAATTACCAACTACTTAAATGGGCTGCAAGTGTGAGCCGTTCATAGATTTTTTTGCCGTAAATGATGGATTCCTTAGAAGGAAGTAGAGATGATTTTGCGTTGCAGAAACAAATTTTGGCGGTAATCATCAGAAAAGATCTAATTTTTATCAGTTTGTTCTGATTCTTTCAATATTATGACATCTATGTTGTAAGGTCAATATATTTGGTTACTTTTGGAAAGGCGTACTGTGATATTGTTTGTAGATTATCAATTTGAACAAATTTACTTTTGATGCTTATTTCATGCCTTTAAAAAGGTACAGATTAGTTTAGCATTTAGTAATTTTATCACAGTGTTCTTCCCAAACTTAAAGATTTTACATATTTAACATTAAAATGCTTTCAAAAACCTTGATGAAAAAAAGCCATGTAAACAGTTCCAATTTTGCTATTTCCTTGTGAAACTGTGCCCATACAATAAGAAATTAGATATTGAATTTATATTATCACAAATGATTATTTGATGGATATTAAAAATTTTTCTTGATATTTTATGTACATATTTTATCAAATGACCTGAAAGTGTTAATACCTTTAATCTTAAAGTCACTAGTTTAGCAGTATCTTCACCTTAACAGATTTAGTAATAAAACTTGTAACTGTATTATGCCATATTTGAGTCCTCAGTTACTCATTTTTGGCCGACAAAACTATGCAGAAATAACTGTAATAAATATGAAGATATAATTATAGTGTATGGTCATTCATTATCTGTTTGTTGAAAGACGTAGCAGGAAGCCAGCCTTATGTCATATTTTCTATGGCTTTTCTGTCTCTGTTTACGATGTAATTTCACCTTGAGATGATATAGACAGTTTTTGTGGAGCTAATGTATCATCTGTATGAAAAAACATGGTATCACAAATGGTCTTTTTGCTGATAATGCAAATGGTCATTTTGAAGATGTGTTGGAACGTCGGCAAATTCGGGTTTTTCTATTTTAAACAAACAAGTTTTTACAGTAATGTTATAACATGGCAAATATATCCATTGGTCACTCTTTTCTGATCGGAAGTGTAGTTATAACCCAAAAAGTTTGATTGTATGAAAAACCTACATGTGCTAAGTTCACGATAACATTCTCTTAGTCTGACAGTCATGCACTTGTCATTAGGAAGAAAGGCACAGGTTTGTAATAAACGACGTGGTCATCTCTAACCCAGAATAAATGCGTTTTGGTCTTGTAATTAACATGGACAATAAATTTTATGATATATTTAAAATGAAATTATTGGCTTATTTTTGCAACAAATTAATAGTTTAATAATATAATGTACATGTACATAAATGGCCAAATTTGTCATTGCAGGGAGCTCTCCCATTTGATGATGATAATTTACGACAACTGCTTGAAAAAGTGAAGAAAGGCGTGTTTCACATTCCACATTTTGTTCCTCCAGATTGTCAAAATTTGTTACGTGGTATGGTAGAGGTAGATCCAGAAAAACGTTTAACAGTAAGTGTTGGTATATCTATATATACATGTAGATCTATATTATATAATATGCAAATATGTACAAAGTTTTCAAAATGGTTGATTTACCACTGGTCATTATAGACATTGACTTGTGTATTCAGAGATCCCAAATACCACACGTCTGCTGGTAATTACGAGTAGAATTTAAGAGAATTTGATGCAGGATGAGTAGAAAAAATGTTGCCTGCACACTGGATTTAGAAGCTATTCATCCCATAGGATAAGTGACTCTGAAAATATTTTTCGATGCCTGGTATTATATACTTAAACCTTAACATGCTGAATTTTTCACATAAACTTGTCTGCAGTTTTTGAAACTGCCCATTATCAATTTTGAAGATATCAAGGTGAAATCAAAAACAATTCCACCAACTGTATAAAGGCCTTGTTCACACCTCATGGATGAGAAGGCTGGCATGGCACTATACTGTTTGCAAAAGTAATCACTTTTGGTTACAACTGAGTAAGAGTTAAATGGTTGTACTGAAGTAAATTTTTGACATGTTGGGACTAGAAATGATTTTTTCGAGATAATTATTACATTTGAAGTAGGTGTTAGACCAAATAACTTGTATGCAAAATTTCAAATAATCCGCTCTCTTCATTTTTTTTCCAGAATAATTATTCAAATTGTGATAAATATTTCAAATTGAATGCTTTTCACTCAAATCTGGCCAATAATAGCACAAAATACGATTTCAATTCATTTCGGTGTTTATTTCTAAATTATCTTAATAATATATCTTTTTGTTTTAGGTGCCCAAGGTGATCTATGTTAGAAATGAAACTTTAATGTTTTTAGATTTCCAGACCTCAGTAGAGTTCTTTTAAGATAATGCTAGGGAAAGTTGCTGATAGCATGTTGTGCATGTAACTTGTATATAACATGATCAGTTGCAGTCATATAAGGCCAGTAATCTTCTTATCTTTGAATTGTTTGGCCACCTTAGCGTTTCAATGTTACTGCTCCATTTCACAATTAAAACTGTAAATACGATATTTATTATTATTTTGCAGTTAGAAGAATTACATCGGCATCCTTGGGTAACTATGTAAGTAATATAATATTAATGAGCCGCGTCACGACAAAACCAACATAATGCGTTTGCGACCAGCATGGATCCAGACCAGCCTGCTCATCCGCGCAATCTTACCAACTTACCAACTCTATTACAAGTAGAGAAACTGATAGCGAACAGCATGGATCCTGATCAGACTGCGCAGATGCGCAGGCTGGTCTGGATCCATGCTGGTCGCAAACGCATTATGTTGGTTTTGTTGTGACGTGGCTCATTTTTGTCATGTCATATCATTCTATAGAGGCTGTTTCTAAGGTTTAGAATGTTTACAGCTTATTAAGCAAATAAGAACCGTAGTCAGGGTCTTTTGATTCTTTCATGTGAGGAAGGCTATCCAGTTAGCTTATAATTATTGAAGGTGGGTGGTTCTACTCGGGTACCATCTTGTACCTGAAATAATGCATACATGGGCTACCAATATCTCCATCCACCAATTAAGCTGGAAAGTTGCCATATGACATTTAAAGTATTGGTGTGACTTAAATCCCAAACAAAAATTAAAAAAAAGTTGAACATGATTAGGATGAAGTGGGATGCTTTAAAATTCTTAATCAATTCTATCAAATTCTTAGAACAGCTATATTAAATAAATATTTCAATTCATTTGTTAGTTTTAAAGATATTACTTTTTTCAATGATGTATATTAAGATGTTTGATTTTGTTAAAGTGGTAACAAACAAGAGCAAGAACTTGAATTACCAATAATTCAAATAGTTCAGGTACGGGTAATGATATGTATATATATTTATAAATATATATATGTATGGAATGATTCTTATGTCTACTGTACTTCCGTGAAAGCTTTAGTTTACACAATCATTATAGCATGTACATGATTTTATGATGCAGATCGAAAAAATATTTGAATATATATATTAGCTGAAAATTTGATATTTTATTTTTGAATTCTCCGTCTTGAAGTTTGTTGAGTAACTTTTTACCACTGATATACTTGTTACGTAAAAGGTCAATTTCAATTTCTTGGTTAGTCAAATCTATATTGGGTCAAGTACTGTATATAAAGTGGTTTTTTTCGAAATACAGAAAAAATTAAATTGCTCGGGTAGTCTGCCAGGTTAGCACAAAGGGAGAGCATTGGATTAGTTATCAAAGGGACGCTCTTCAGATGATCCTCGGGCGAGTCGTAAGTTCTCTGTGATAATTGATCATGGACATTAAGTATTATAGTTATTTTGTAATTTAATCAATTCTGATACAAAAACTTCACCTTGCAAAATCAAAGCTCTGATTTATGAAAGAATGTTAAGACAAGAATTTGGAAAAGGGGCATCATAATTTCAATTATATATTGTTATGTATCTATATATATACATACATGTATTTATAAACTTTTTAGTAATCATTTATAATAAACTAAATTTACATCCAAATGCCTACCATGTAGATACTCTGTATATAATACATCTTTTGCTTCTTTTTGAACTAATGTACATGTATCTTTCCAACTATTGTAGAATAAATATTAACTGATGACAATGAATTTAGCCCATAAGTTAGTAAAATCTGAAGTAAATATTAAACCATAGTAGCTACTATAAGTATCATAAATGAACTGGTCCACAGTCTTTCAATTTGGACTAACGATTTATCATTCTTAGTGAACATTTCAAAATAATTTATTTTTTTACTGAAAAGCAACCAGTGCAGACCATAATCAGACAGTACAGAAGTGTTGGCTGATCTTGATCTGCACTGGTTGCATTGGTAGATTATGTGGCCAATAGCACGCTTAAGTTGAAATAACACCTGGAACTTACAAATATTTATGAAATTTCTGTTACATTGTTGGTTGTAAGGAACAGTATTTGGATGAAAAATTTAGAAATTTATTAATTTTACTTTTGCTTTTTTATATGAAGTATATATACATAAAAGTGTATTGTTATATTTGGTTAATATGCTGTATTTAGACATATATTGTTATATTTTGCTTATATGCTGTATATATGCATCTTGTTATATTTTGTTTATATGCTGTACTAAGTATTATATACATTATTGTTATATTTTGTGTTTTTATATACTGTATATTTACACATACATGTATATAGATATATGCTATATTTTGTTATTATGTAATATTATACTCATGTATAAATATATTTGTATATTTTGTTTGTGCTTTCATATATAATTTTATATGCTATATTTTGTTTATATACTGTGTACATATATTTATATATACTGTATATATGTACAGATATATTTCTATATTTTGTTTTTGGTTTTATTGTAGGGATTGCCACGATCATTTAGAATTAGAATTGCCTGTAGTACAAGTTGTCCAGGTATATTTTCTATACTTTATTGTGTTTTTATAACCAGCATGCTTATGATTTCAGTGGTTTTTTAGCTCGACTATTCGATAAGAATAAGTAGAGCTATTGTAGTCACCCGAGCGTCGGCGTCTGCGTAACCACTTATGTTAAAGTTTTTGTAATAGTTTAAATATTTTCAAAGTCCATTGACATATGGCTTTGAAACTTTGCACCCTTGTTCACCATCATGACCCCAACATGTAGACAGGAGTAGGTAACTCTATCAAGCATTTTGACAGAATTATGCCCCTTTTTCGACTTACAATTTACGTTAAAGTTTTTGTAATAGTTTAAATATTTTCAAAGTCCATTGACATAGGGCTTTAAAACTTTGCACACTTGTTCACCATCATGACCCCAACATGTAGACAGGAGGAGGTAACTCAATCAAGCATTTTGACAGAATTATGCCCCTTTTTCGACTTAGAATTTACGTTAAAGTTTTTGTAATACCTCAAATATTTTCAAAGCCCATTGACATATGGCTTTGAAACTTTGCACACTTATTCACCATCATGACCCCAACCTGTAGACAGGAGGAGGTAACTCTATCAAGCATTTTGACAGAATTATGCCCCTTTTTCGACTTAGAATGAACATTTAAGTTTTTGTAATACCTCAAATATTTTCAAAATTGATTGACATAAGGCTTTGAAACATGTTGAAATTTTATACTCTTCTTTGAGAGCATAATAGGACTCTCTCCAAGGCCTATAACTGTAATATGGATTTAAAGAACAATTTTGCCTTTTTCTTTACTGAGAAAATTTTACCTTTTAATCAAGGCTTTTTTTACTATCAAGCACTAAGAATAGTCGAGCGTTGCTGTCGTACCGACAGCTCTTGTTCTCGCTTAAGGTAGTCACACTGTAATGCTTTCCTGCCAAAAACATTCTAAAGTCGGCTAATAACGTAGCATATCGGTTATTTCTGGAAATTTATTTTATACCTGTTATAAAGGGTTAAAAATTATTGAATAGCAATAATTGTGAATAAAATAATGTTCCGGAAATGACCGATTTATTAAGATATTGGCCGATGTTAGAAATATTTTGGCGGTAAATCGTTACAGTATGACTACCTTAATTCCGAACAGGCCTTCATGGCAAACAGACCTTAGTCTCGCAAAGAGGCCTTAGGCTCTTGATTTGGGAAGAATTATTGTTAAAATTGATTATTTAGGAATTAAAACTGCTAAAAAAAATTTATGGAAAACTGCATAAAGTTCCATTGTGAAAATGACTTTTTTAAGGCCTTTTTTATATAAGGTGAAAAATCAAGTTTTATATGAAAACTTTGTTTTAGATTGATCTACTGTTTACTTGCACACAAAATGTTGTAAGAATATATTTTGCATTCATCTTGTACAATACATTTATATGTCATATCTAATAGGAGGTTACAAACAAACCTTTACTGTTATAGCTTCACTACTGTTCACAATAGAGTGAACAATCTTTATCAATATGTTTATCAATATGTTTGCTGTATAAGTTTGTTCGTTCTATGGGATGTGTTGAAAAAAGCATGTTTGTACTTTTCAAATACAGAGATCAAGTCTCTGGAAGGGTACCTAACTCTTAACCAGCTGAATTTCTTAATTAGACTGACACATTTTACAATAATAGAATTTCTTCTCACCATCCAGTGGGTAAATCTTTACCTAACTTAGTTTTTTCATTAGATTTTTTTTCCCTAAAGTTTGTCAATTTGTTTAATCTTTTATGAACAATTATGAACAACCTGTCAACAACTTTTTTTAAAACTATGTATTGTTTGATAGTCTTTTAACAAATATTTACATAAGTTTGAAATAAAATGAAGATATTATGGCCCATTTTCATGTAAAAACATTTTTCTAAACATGATTAAAAATTAAAAATTTATAAAAAAAAATATACATGTATTTGAAATGTTTATGTGTCACCTGATGTAAAATTTTATTTTTTCAGACCAAATAAATTGATGTAAAATTTGAGTATTTTTTTTATTTCGGCCAGACCAAATAAGTTGATGTAAAAAAAAATTGTCAGACCAAATAAATTGACGTAAATAAATTTAAAAAAAACCCAGACCAAATAAATATATGTAAAATATGATATTTTTTTTCCCTAACCAAATAAATTGATGTAAAATATGATTGAATTTATTTTCAAACCAAATTAATGGACGTAAAATTTGATTTTTTTCAGACGTCCATTATACCTACTGTGGAAGACTTAGATCCTGATGTGTTATCTACTATGAATTCTTTACAATGTTTTAAAGACAAAGACAGATTAATACGGGAATTATTAAATAGTAGGTAAGTTAACACAGGATGGCAGTTACAGATTAGATACCAGATAGGTAAGATGATACAAGAGAAGTTCATAACTAAGGTGATTTTATGAACATTTGGCCCCAGATCACTTGTACCCAAAAAGATCAATGTCTGAAAGAAATTTGAGATTGCTTATATGTAACTGAAGTCAATGTCAGAGAAAAAAGCTTAGATTTGTTGTACGTAACAGAGGTCAATGTCTAAAGTCAATGATTGTCTTGTCAGGGGAAAAAGTTAGATTGGTTGACAAAGGTCAATGTCAGGAAGAAATCTGAGATTGCTTGTACGTAATAAATTTAAATGTCAGGAAAATTTGTTAAGAAACACTTAAATATCATTTACAGACATGATTTATTTATGTCAACTACACAGTTGACTTGTGTGTATTCGGCTGATTAAAAGAATTTGCTCATCTTAAACAGCAACCAAAATCTCATAGAAAAAAAACTAAGGTTTTGACATTCATATTATCTTGCTCTGTCAAATGACAGGCCTTTTTAGCAGATACGACTGTAGTCAATGTTTCTTATGAAATTTATCATAGACAGGGTCAACTGATCAAAATGACAAGCCTTTGTAAACAAGTTTTACTTTAAATACTTCAAAAAATTCCTCTGTTAACAAGTTTTACTGGAAAACATTAAAAAAGGATCTTTGCAAACAAGTTTTACTGTCAATAATAAAAATAGGCTTATATAACTGTTTGAAAATAATAGTCTTTGCAAACAAGTTTTACTGTAAATAATAAACATAGGCTTATATAACCATTAAAAAAGAGTCTTTGCAAACAAGTTTTGCCGTAAATAATAAAAAATAGGCTTATATAACCAATAAAAAAAGAGTCTCTGTAAACAAGTTTTACTGTAAATAATAAAAAAGGCTTATATAACCATTTAAAAAAAAGAGTCTCTGTAAACAAGTTTTACTGTAAATGATAAAAATAGGCTTATACTACCATTAAAGAAAGAGTCTTTGTAAACAAGTTTTACTGTAAATAATAAAAATAGGTTTATATAAGCATTAGAAAAAGAGTCTTTGCAAACAAGTTTTACTGTAAATAATAAAAAGAGGCTTATATTACCATTAAAAAAGAGTCTTTGTAAACAAATTTTACTGTAAATAATAAAAAAAGGCTTATATAACCATTAAAAAAAAGTCTTTGTAAACAAGTTTTACTGTAAATAATAAAAATAGGCTTATGCAACAATTAAAAAAAAGAGTCTTTGTAAAAAAGTTACTGTAAATCATAAAAATAGGCTTATATAACCATTAAAAAAAGAGTCTTTGATGAAACAAATTTTACAGTAAATAATAAAAAATATGCTTATATAACCATTAAAAAAGAGTCTTTGTAAAACAAGTTTTACTGTAAATACCCGGTAATAAAAATAGGCTTATATAACCATTAAAAAAAGAGTTTGTAAACAAGTTTTACTGTAAATAATTAAAATAGGCTTATATAACCATTTAAAAAATCAAAGGGCTGCAGCTCTATGGTATTTTCTGATCTTTGCAATCTAAATCATACTGACTATCTGTATGTACTTTCCTGTATAAGTTTATTTTTATATACTATAATTCATCTTACGCAGCGACAGCGTTTTGTTTTTCTTCTATAACAGTTTGAGATTTACATATGGAATTTTGCATGAAAAAAAAAAAAAAAAAAAAGAATTGCCTCGACTAGGATTTGAACCATAGGCCTCTCACACCCTCAACGAGACCGCTTACCTCTGCACCACGGCGAAGTTATACATATGAACCTTGAATAAAAACGAATACATTATGTAATTCTAAATTGAGAATTTCCATTTCGTGTTTGTAATCCTTATTAATTTCGAGGTATTTTGTTCACGATAAACGTGTTGTTTAACACTGATGAAAATAATTTATCGAAAATCTTCTCGCCAAAACAGTCCGACATGTATATATTCCACTACTCGACAGTCAGATTTATTTGTGTACTACGCTCTGGAGTATTCGGTAATCGGCATAGCTAAAAATAGCACTTTCATTGATTAAAATGATATTCATGATAATCCGAAGCTTTACGGAAATAGCCGAACATTTTTTCATTGGGTAAAAAAGATATTCATCCGCGAAATTTGTGATTGTAACCTCATATTTCTATTGACTAATCTAAACTTTTAATGCACTGTAATTCGTTAAATGCTTACATTTAAAATTATTCTTTCTTTAAAATTGCTGGTTTTTAAGCAGTTTTGAGTGAGAACTACTTTGCGTTGTTAGGACTGTTTGGAAATTTTGTGTTAGACCGTGGATGTTAGCTATGTATTTACTGATCTAACGATCAGAAAATACAACAAGTTTTACTGTAATTGATAAAAATAGGTTTATATAAGCATTAAAAAAAGAGTCTTCGCAAGCAAGTTCTACTGTAAATAATAAAAACAGCTTCTATACTTTAGAAAAGGCCTTTGTAAATAAGTTCTACTGTAAATACTTATAAATAATAACTTGGTTATTGATGCCAATATATTAATGCTCAGACAAACCACAAAAATGTTTAAATGTAATAAATTGAAAGAGAGCTATTCATTTTCAAACTATGAACAAAGAACTGAATTTCTATTTTAATGCCTATTGTTGGAAATTTAATGTATAGATTTATTTTATACATGATTTATTTAACCTGGATTGTGTAGGCAGCTTTCAGCTTAAAGACGCACTAAAATTCTTTCCTGGAACTAACCAGTACTGAGCATTGAGTGTAAAGTTTCTTGCTCAAAGAAACAACGGCTTGCCTCTGCCGGGGTTTGAACTGACGTGGCAAGCAATCCTTAGGTTACTAGTCTGACTGACCCATTAACCACTCAGCCATGCCGCCACTCAGTAAAGATTTGTGTTGATTACCTGCAAATGCTGCACTGACATTATAAAAGGCAGGGTAATTATTGTAATCGAGTGTAATTTTATTTACATGATAGGAAAACATTACTTCCTCAATGCCTGAGCATTATATTCTATTGATTTATCATCTTCAGATATGGAACTGTAAAATCTTTATCTGATATCAATCTTTCTTTGTTTCATACATTTATGTTATGTAACAAACTTCTGTTCAAAAATTATAATACAGTTATAATTCAGTTTGAAATTTGTTCAATGAACTGTCTGAGTAGCCTTATAATTTAATATAAAATATCAAATATTTTTATAAACACAATTTTTTATTTTCATTAGACCTGCTGTAATACAGTTTGAGTTTGTTCTCTCATGTAACCTGATGTAACCTGAAAATAGAAAAAAATATTTCAGTAAATCTATGGATCATTTTGAGAAGACAAAAATAAAGATGAAACAGTAGCATTGAGAACTCTGATATCATGGTTAACATTGTCAGTAATAGTAAATTGATATCATGACCTTTTTATGTCAGTGCTTAAGATTATGCATTTTGGAGGCCATTGAAACACGGCCATATTAAGTCATGGATTTAAATATCAATTGTTACACACCCGTCTTTGGAGTTTTGTTTAGCTTATCAAATACCGGTACATGTAATTTTATCACCATGGGTCAGATAGAAAATACATATAATTTCTACATAGTACGTTCAGGATTGAGATATTGGCATGAAATCTGGGGTATGCAGGAATATTGCAAGTTTGAGATAGATTTATCAACACCAGCCTCTCACCAGGATTTACACCAGGCCTTGAGGTTATAAAGCTAAGTTCTGTCTCAAATCTTAGGACTTTTAATTAGTCAATGAGCATTCTATGGCAGTTTCTGACCATTTAAATACCTGAGATATGAGTTTGAGTTTAGGAAAGTTCTTCGTCACCCCGGAACCAGGTCTTTTATAACCTAGGACCCAGGACAGATGCATTCTGTCCAACAGTTCTCTATGATACAGTATAAAAAAAGCAAAGCAATATGATACAGTATAAAAAAAACAAAACAATTAAACAAGGTCTAAATCTTTAAAATGATTTATTGTAGTAAGTGCAAGGTGAGGCAGTTTTGTTATGGTATTGTAAATGTTTCATCAAATGAAAGTGTGCATTATAGATTTTGTACATTGTAAATCAAATTATGTGGAGGAGAATTTGATAAAGTTGTTGATCATTTTCCCTGAAAATTTTCTCCTGGAACAAATTACTTTGAAAGTTTACACCTTTCAAGGGATTTAAATAGAAGGTTTAGTTTTACATGATTATTATATTTATTTGATTTGTGTTGTTCAACATGTATAAATAGATACATAAGAGCCAGACAATATATATCGTCACCTTAGTGCAGTAATGGGTTAAAGCCTATGACAATTTAAAAGGATTTAGTCCATGCTGTGCTAAGATGACAATATGGGAGTTCCACACAACAAGTGCATGATAAAGTTTATGAGTTTATGGTAAAGGAATGGTGATGGAGTCTTTGTCCGTATGGTTAAGGTTACCAATTCAAATCAACTTGTCCGTTACTGCTGTGGATACTTATTCCATCAGGAAGTTTGGAATCTTTCATGTGAGGAAGCTATACAGCTAGCTTATGGAACATCAATGGTTCTACTCAGGTGCCTGCTAATGCCTGAAATAATGTACAAAGGTGCACTTAAGGTCTTCCTGCCAAATGACCTTTACTGTGTCTTAAAATTCAGGAAAAGAAACAAAAATTATTTTTTAATTGAGAGGGGAGAAGAAAATGTTGGTTTTCTTGCAATACTATTAGTTTTTATATATTAATAAAAAAGACATAGTTATAACATAGATTTAACTTTATTAAGATAAAAAATGAAATTTCTTTGATATGACTTACAAAAAAAGATTATTTATAATAATCTCTTCATTAAATTTTGTAACTTCAAATTATATTAGACAGTTTATATGTATAATGTATAAATATATATCTATTCAGACATTTTTCTATATTTTCAGGCACAATACAGAGAAGGTGATTTATTTTTTACTCTTAGACAGAAAACTCAGGAATCCTTGTGTGGAGGATGAAATAGAAATTCGACACAGATCAGAATCTGGTATGACTTTTATATATATACAATATATTATTCTCATGTAAAACAACTTGGCCTCCGAGAATAGAAACATTTCTACTTATATGAGGGTATTGTGCATGATCCATTAATTTTCAAAATGAGGAAATCTCAGATACATGTACATTGTTTTATGCATTAAAAACCAGAAAAATGTTACAGCTTTAAAATTAATGTAAACTCAATGTGATTGATAATAAGCTATTCACAAACAATAAATAAACAATTTTCCATGCTTTATAAATGTCACATTAAACTTTAAATATGGATATAAAGGCCATACATGGATGGTAAAAAAAGCATATTCTTGTCTGAATAAAGGCCAAGTTAAACTTTATGATGTTATAAAACATTTTCTTGCTTCTGGGTCCATGCTGTATAAAAGTCAGATTAAACTTTATACATGGATGATATAAAACATGTTCTTTTTCTGGATACATGCTGTATAAAGGTCATGTTAAACTTTATACATGGATGACATTCAACATATTCTTGTTTCTTGATCCATGCTCTTAAACATTATACATGGATAATATAAAACATTTTCTTGTTTCTTGATCCATGCTGTATAAAGGTTAGGTTAAACTTTTTACATGGTTGATGTAAAACATATTCTTGTTTCTAGATCCAAGCTGTTAAACTTTATACATGGATGATATAAAAACATTTTCTTGTTTCTAGATCCATGCTGTATAAAGGTCATGTTAAACTTTATACATGGATGATATAAAACATATTCTTGTTTGTAGATCCATACTGTATAAAGGTCTGGTTAAACTTTATACATGGATGACATAAAACATATTCTTGTTTCTAGATCCATGCTGTATAACTTTATACATGGATGATATAAAACATGTTCTTTTTTCTGGATACATGCTGTATAACTTTATACATGGATGATATAAAACATGTTCTTTTTTCTGGATACATGCTGTATAAAGGTTATGTTAAACTTTATACATGGATGATATAAAACATATTCTTGTTTCTAGGTCCATGCTGTATAAAGGTCAGGTTAAACTTTATACATGGATGATATAAAACATATTCTTGTTTCTAGGTCCATGCTGTATAAAGGTCAGGTTAAACTTTATACATGGATGATATAAACATATATTCTTGTTTCTAGATCCATGCTGTATATTGGTCAGGTCAAACTTTATACATGGATGATATAAAACATATTCTTGTTTTCTAGGTCCATGCTGTATAAAGGTCAGGTTAAACTTTATACATGGATGAAATAAAACATATTCTTGTTTCTAGGTCCATGCTGTATAAAGGTCAGGTTAAACTTTATACATGGATGACATAAAACATATTCTTGTTTCTAGATCCATGCTGTATAAAGGTCAGGTTAAACTTTATACATGGATGATATAAAACATATTCTTGTTTCTAGGTCCATGCTGTATAAAGGTCATATTAAACTTTATACATGGATGATATAAAATATATTCTTGTTTCTAGGTCCATGCTGTATAAAGGCCAGGTTAAACTTTATACATGGATGAAATAAAACTTATTTTTGTTTCTAGGTCCATGCTGTATAAAGGTCATATTAAACTTTATACATGGATGATATAAAACATATTCTTGTTTCTAGGTCCATGCTGTATAAAGGTCAGGTTAAACTTTATACATGGATGATATAAAACATATTCTTGTTACTAGATCCATGCTGTATAAAGGTCAGGTTAAACTTTATACATGGATGATATAAAACATATTCTTGTTTCTAGGTCCATGCTGTATAAAGGTCATATTAAACTTTATACATGGATGATATAAAATATATTCTTGTTTCTAGGTCCATGCTCTACAAAGGTCAGGTTAAACTTGATACATGGATGATATAAAACATATTCTTGTTTCTAGGTCCATGCTGTATAAAGGTCATATTATACTTGATACATGGATGATATAAAACATATTCTTGTTTCTAGGTCCATGCTCTACAAAGGTCAGGTTAAACTTGATACATGGATGATATAAAACTGTAAGAAGGTCATGTTAAACTTTATGCATAGATGATGTAAAACATATTCTAGTTTCTAGGTCCATGTGTAACTTTATACATGTTTGAATGCGTGATTTGATTTGTCTCTTCATCATTTTGAAGTAAATGTGCTTCAGAAAGAGAAAATTTATTCCTTAAAAGTTTCATGATGAAATCTAACACTTTACTGAAGGAGATTATGACAGGAATTCTGGAGAAATTTATGTAGATTTGATAATGTCTCTGTAAAGTAATCTGAGCTTGCATTATTATGATATGGGAAACAAACAATGGAGAATTTTATGATTTGTTTATACATCAGTTATTGCTGAGTGGAATTTATGAGAAAATTTTGGCTTTAAAAACATTAGAATATTATGGGATTTTCCTAGAAATTTGATTATAAACATTGAAAATGAGACATTATTCAGTAAATCAATATCATTCTGTTTATGATACAGATGAAGTCGGTTAAAGGGTCTCCACTGAGGTTTATTGACATAATGTGACTGGAATTTTTTTCTTTAGATTTTATATCATTTGATGTAAGTCTAATTCAATGACTTGTGTGCAAAATTTCTGATCATTCAGTAACTCTGTTTATTCAGAAAAAATATTATTGAGCAAAATGACATAAATGACCTGTCTAGTTCTGTCTCAAATCTCAGGATTTTCATTGGTTAATGTACATTCTGTGACAGTTTCTGACCAATCAAATACCAGAGATCTGAGTTTGATTTGGCCTCTGGTTTTTCTTTGTGTGTACAGGTTTTGCAATCTGTACGACTGGCGAAATGTTTTTAAGGGTACAGTTTAGACAAAACAAAAATCTATATATGAAAATTTAACATGTTTAAGCATTATTACAATATATTTAATGTGATGTTGTTGTTGTTATTTCAGCTGATCCACCTAGAAAAAGAATAGATGCAGTACAGCTCAATGGTCAGCCAAGGTATAAACTCAGATTTACTGTAATTTCTGTTTCCTAGAAATACAACCAATTAAACTAATGTTTCCTAGAAATACAACCAAAAGAAACTAATGTTTTCTAGAATTACAATCAATAAAACTACTGTTTCCTAGAAATACAACCAATTAAACTAATGTTTCCTAGAATAACAACCAATAAAACTACTTTTTCCTAGAAATGCAACCAATAAAACTACTGTTTCCTAGAAATACAACCAACTAAACTAATGTTTTCTAGAAATACAACCAATTAAACTAATGTTTTCTAGAATTACAACCAATAAAACTACTGTTTCCTAGAAATACAACTGACTTAACTAACGTTTTCTAGAAATACAACCAATTAAATTAATGTTTCCTAGAATTACAAGCAATCTACTGTTTCCTAGAATAACAACCAATAAAACTACTGTTTCCTAGAAATGCAACCAATTAAACTACTTTTTCCTAGAAATACAACCAATTAAACTACTATTTCATAGAAATGCAACCAATAAAACTGCAGTAAGCAATAAAATAGCAGTAAATGTTCTGTCATTGAAAATTAAATGTAATTTGTTGCAGTTTTATGCTTTATAAGAAATAAAAGAGTTTTATCACTGAAAAATGTCTTATACCTTTAATATCAAATTTTGACCAAAGATGAAATTTATCTTATGAGATTAAAGGTTTACATAAATAAATAAAATGATATAAATGTATTTGCCAAGAAAAAATATGTAAAAAAAGAAGACCTGTTGGTGACTTTTCCTGAAGCATCTTTATTATCAAACTCTGTCTTTAAAACTAATTGTTGGTTATTTATTCTAATTTCTTAAATTATTTTAAAGCAAAATTTCTCTGTGACAATTGATCTCGGACATCTTGGTCAGTCACTTGCAGAGAAATTGCTAATTACTGGTTAGTTATCCAGGAAAGCTGGTTAGATGGATTGACTTCCATATAATGACCAAAAATATAACCAAAACATCATGTATTAAGATTGGCGTAAAAACAGAAGAACAAGCAAACACATGTAGTAAACCATACTATTCTTGAGAAGTCAAATAGACTTAGAGCTGTAATAACTCTAATGTGCTCATAAGAATTATCCATATCTTTTTAAATGACAGAATTGCCAATTGTTTTGAGAGCTGATAATAAACATAATGATATATAGAGTGAGGGATCTTTAAAATTGAAATCTCAAATTATCTACGTATTGAAATGAAATCAAATCCTTTCGAAGACTAAATGTCAACCTTTAAAATGAACTTTTGACAAGGAACTTTGCACTTAATAAAACATGCTTAATACTTGGCAATGCCAAAAACCTGATTCCACAGAATTATTTCTTTGGTATTCTTGGTTTTTAGACCAAAAAACCATAAAAAAATTAAGTTCTTTGACATCTTTATGAAATACATTATAAACAAGTTAACTAGTTTTGATCAATTGTCTTGAAATATGTATGTTTGTATACTACATGTACTAGCTTAGAAAAGTATTTGCATAAATCTTGACTAACATTAACTTTGTTTTGTTTGATGGCTCACAGATTGTCTTTAGGTAGTATTAGTGAGGGCTCGCCAACGGCAGGCCGTAGAGCTCTTGCTATACAAAAAGTGTAAGTTTACACCTATAAGCTTTATATGTTGTCACAAGGTCACACTTGATTGGAAACTAGTATGAAAATAAATGTAAAATTTTAATAGTACAATTATATATAAATATATATATTTATATACCTATGCTTCATACTAGTTTGCAGTCTATAATATGATATCTAGAAGGGGTCGGAAGACAGTAGGGGACTTCATGTGTTGCAATCTGTGACTTGTTTATCTCAGAGGGTATTGTTACTGTACCCATCAAGTTATTTGCTAGCAGACATGGTGGTTTTCCCCTAATCATAAAAAAAATACCCAATTTTGCTGCTTAATTGGCATGTTTAAGATTTTATACCTGTGTCAACAGATCTTTTACACAAATTTTGAAGTAGCGTTATAAGTAGAATCAACATTAAAAAGAAGTTGTATGGTGCAAATACCAATTCTTCAAATAACAATTTAACTATATAGAAGTTTTCATACTTCCTGTTTACATTAGCATCAACAAAGTTTTTGAATTTTGCTATTCAACGGTTTACAATTAAGCCAAAAAAAGACGCTTTTAATACAGCATGTATTTACCTCCCCTGTCCACCATTTTGAAAGTCATTTCTAATAAATTAAAAACTTAACCCTTTCGCTGCCAGAGGGTTATTGTTTTATTGTTCACCTATTTGCCAGAGGGTTTTCTAAGAAATTACTATATTATTAATTAATATAATTTTTATTATTTGTTATTAGTATTGTAATAATTATATATGTTTCCAAATATGTTAGTATATTAATAATTATTGTCGATGGTATAATTTTCTTTACATTTATTATTATTTTTATTATTATTATTATTAATTTATTATTATTACTATTATTATTATAGAAACGGCTAAAGCCGTCCATATGGCGAATACGCCGAAAATAACAGGGACGGCTTAAGCCGTCCCTATGGCAGTGAAAGGGTTAAGATAAAATTCTCCCAAAATTCAATCATTTTTATGTTCAGAAGAAGTATTAGATCATTGGGCTCTCACTGTGTGTTGTGTTGCCCACAGGAAAGCGCCGTGCTTAATTTGAGATAAGAACTATTACATTGGGTTCTTACCATGGGTTGTGTGAGCTTTTGAGAATCTTGAACCCCCATAATGACTGCCATTTTTGGCAAGGGAGGTAAATTTTGTAAAAATCTGGAACAATCAATTGAGAATAATGAAATTAGTTTTACAACAACATTATACATGCCAATTAAGCAGTTGTTTTATGCCATCATTATTGTTGCTTAAGTTGATGTATTTTACTTAAAGTTCCCTTATTGTAGCATTAATTATGTTTCTGTGATAAATATGTTTCTTTTCAGTTATTATAGTAAACATCATGTAGTATATAATTGATTTGAGTTTTCAGTGTATATTTATTTTTTAATGTGTCTTTTTTTTCACCCACATTCATAAAATAATTATATTGTTGGAAACACATTTTTTCCCCATTATTGTTTCAGTTGAATTTTCACGCTCTAGTGATTTATAAAACATTATTTGATAGAATAAAAAGATCAAAAACCAACACAATTTTACATTAAATGAAAAGACTTTCAGAAAGGGACAGCCATAGCTGAGCAGTGAAGGTCTTTGAATTCAGACTACTTGGCCCTTACTGCTGTGGGTTAGAGTCTCGCATTGGATTCTTTCAAATGAGGAAGCTATCCAGCTAATTTGTGGAACATCTGTGGTTCTTACTCAGGTGCCTGCTCATGCCTGAAATACTGCACAAAGGTGTTGATGCAACTTACAAATATAAAATTCCACTCAAAGAAACAAAACATTCAACAGAAAAAATCTATAAAAAAAACAAACAAAAAAACAACACAATAACAGGTTTCTGATGTTAAAGACCATAGACTTGATAAAGAAATATTGTTGCCATTACTATGGTTACAGGGAACTAAATGATTTATAGATGGTATTTTGTAAGTAAGGTAATATTGTATAATACAATAAGTTTATGAAGACTATCACTAGTATTGATCTACACAATACATTCTTAAAATCACGACTTATAATCATAAATATGTCTCAAAATTAATTTTTGTGGTTTTTTGTGGAAAGGTCAATCCAGGAATTTAAGATCCAACAAAATTTCATTTCTGTAATATTATTTTACATCACATTATTTACATTTTACCTTTTTGAAAAATAAGCAGTCCATGAATTTAAGAAGTCACAAAATGTTCTTTGTGACAAAACCGCAAAATTTCATGCCCAGGATATTAAATGAATTTACAGTATTTGAAATAATCATGAATAAGAACTTAATCAGAACATATTAATGTAAATTGATTAGCTGAAACTGATAACCTATCTGTAAGAAACAAAATTTATATTTAAGATATATAGTTTCATTTTGTGAAATTTCACTGAAAATCAGTCTAAATCATATGTTTAATATTTTAAATCTTATTTGTTACAGTCGGAAAGCTAGCCTTTCATCTGGTAGCCAGAATGGTTCTCCGGTGTTGAGTCCAAAACATGCAAGAGGCACGCCATCTCACAGTCCCAGTCCAACCCCGCCAACGTCACCTAGTGTTCAGAATACGCCTTGGAAATCACGGCTGCATACAATCAAAAACAGCTTCCTGGGTTCACCAAGATTCCATAGAAGAAAACTACAAGGTATACCATATCCATACCATGGGGCAAATGGGGTTTGTGCCCTTAAGGAGCCCCTACTTCTTCCAGGTGAATTTTGAAATTTAAAACTTGGCCATGTGACTCAGCATGTGACCTAATACTGAATGCTGATTGGTTGGGTTTTTTTGTGGTGAGTAGGTATTGCAGTAGAATATGTATGTATAAACCTCATTCAGACCATTTGGTTTTCATTTTGCTGAAAAATAAATCATGACAAAAACACAGAACAATGTGTACTGCAACACTGATGTCCACAATAACATGAGGTTGTAGACCTGTCTAGAAAAAAGTAAAAAAATTTCTATCACAACATTCATGATTAGAATAAGAGACAGGTCTACAAACTCAATTTTGCCCTAGGTTTCAATTTTTATAACGCATGTTGCTAGGTTGCTTGCATTCCTAGAGTAATGTCTCATACAAAGCTCAAAACATTCTCAAACATTGCCAAGTAAAATAACAGAAAACCTGGATATAATGCTATGTGGGGCTTAAATTACCACACACCAATAGCTGTCAAGTGAAGCAATTCAAGTATGACCTTGAATTTTAAATCACCTTTTCACTATCAAATTTTTTAAATGAAATTGGCCAAATCTTTGTTAAAAATTGATATTAGCCAAATTTTGGTTATAAATGAATGGATTTCATTTATATTTGGACATAAGAACACTGGACAAAGCCTTCATGTGATAATTCAAGTATGACCTTGACCTTAAATTGTCCTTGACCTTAAAAGACAAATATGAAATTTATTTAAATTCTGTAAAACTGGTAGCAAATCTAAAACTGCTCTCATAAGTGAAATTTTAGGTTGTTTGTTATTTGATCTTGTATTATGTTTTGTATGATAACATTTCCAAATGTTGTTGTGTTACTAACATGAAACTTGATGTTTATTAAACTTTTGTGTGCATCTGAAACATTATATATGAGAAAACATTACTAACATTCTGTTCCATCAATGCTTTGACCTTAATTCTGATAACCTTAACTTGATGACCTTAACTCTGATTGATGACCTGAACCTATTGACCTTAATGGAATGACCTTTACTCTGATGACCATAACCTGTTAACCTTTACCTGATGATGTTAACTCTGATGACCTTAACCTGATGACCTTAACTCTGATGACCCTGACCTGTTGAGTGTTGACCTTAACCTGGTGCATATATTTCTTAAATGGACATTGAAAGGCATCCATTTTCCAACAGTTTTGGATATCATTGTAAAAATTTGAGATTGGGCAGCCAACAGTATAGAAGCCTGGTTTGATAACATGGATATAGAGGCTAACCTGGCTCTTATACTGTTGGGTAAGGCCATCATTTGGTTCCAGCAGGTTAAGGGTCAATATTCATGTTATTACGCTAATAAAGATAGTTTTCATATATGTTTATATACCATGGCATGATTTATTATACATGTATCATTGAAATAATACATAGAAATATATGCCTTTTAATATGGTAGTTTTGCATACATTCCATTCTGGAATTATATTTTTATGCCACCAGCAGCATCTGCGATGCGGTGGCATATAGCGATTCATCTGTGTGTGTGTGTGTTTGTTCGTGTTTTTGTTTTGTGTGTGTTGTATATAGATATATAGTGAAACTTAGGAAAATCTTTCTTGTGAAAAATCCATAGTCATTTCATACCAACCTTGGAGGGATTGATCTTGGGTGAAAGGCGTTCCAAAGTTATGTTCAACAAAGAATACAAATTCAAAATGCGAAATCCTGGTGCCATGGCAACAAAGGATTATAGAATAAATTTAAAAAAATCTCTGTATAAGACTCCAAAAGGCTGAGCTTGAAGATGTATTTGCATTAAGGCATTGTTTGTAGACCTCTCACAGATTGTTCAATTATAAGCTGCTGGGTAAAATCAGCCACCCGGGGTCATTATGTGTTCACGATATATGTTACATATATAGGTAAAAATAAAATGCCTTTTTGTAAAGACCATGCCAGAGATTAGATTAGCTATATTGACGATAAAGGCATGTCTGGTAAATCCTTACAATAATTGCTCCAAATTAAGGCTGGGTCAAGAATAAAGCCACTGGCAAGGGGGTCATGGATTTTCACTATATGTACATATAGTGACGAAAAATTTAAAAATACCTTCTTGTAAAGACCAAATGGCCTAGAGCTTAGATAATTTTGCATAAGGCATTGTCTGATAGACCTCTACCCAGAATGTTCAAAATATATGCCCTGGGGTCAAAATGCCCCCGTCTCGGGGTCATTGATTTTCAATATATACATATAGTAAAAAATCAAAAAAATCTTATTGTCTGAAGGTACAAGGCTTAGAGCTTTAAAATATTTGTTAAATGATATCATAATATAGGTATTCTCTACCAAGTTTGTTCAAATTTGCCTCAGTGTAAAATTAAAAGTGAACTTTGAATATCAGCTGACCTAGATTTTGACAAAGTGTATTACATGTTGTCGCTTTGATGCAGTCATGAAATTTTTAGGCTGTGTGAAATATGACCTTCACCACCAAATTCACTAGACTCAAGTGCATTGATATATTCCTACTCTGATCTTTTATTGAGTTAACAATAGATTTAACCACTAATCTGATAATAAGAATTAGATATGCATTATGACAATTTTCAATTGTATAGAAACAAAAAAATCTGTTCTACACTACTATTTAGTGTTGTTTTATTGCGGTGGCATAGCAATTTTTCTCAAATGCAATCTTGTTTTTACATTATTACAAAGAAAAGTGTGTATCAGGTAAAAATATATGTATATGGACTTTTAGGCAGGGACACTTTTACCTGGATGTAAGCCCTATATATGAATATAAAAATTATTTAAATTATATCAAACTGTATAAAACAAGTCCATTTTAAGTGGCAGCAAGGCCAAGTGTTTAACATGTCAGACCAGTTATGTGAGTATTAGTGCTACTTGTGTGGGTTCAAACCCCTTCAGGGGTGAGCCATTGTTTCCTTGCGCATAAGAGAAACTATAAACAATTGCTCAGTACTGGTTAGTTCCAGGAAGTGATTGGAGAGTGTATCTGACTGCAAGCTTAAAGCTTCCTACACAATTGAAATAAAATAAATTCTATATAAACTTTGTCTATTTTTGTAATTGGATCAAATAACATAGCTGATTAAAGTTTTTTATTTAATCATATTTCGTCACATTAATTCAGTACTAGGTTAACTTCTATTAAAATTTAATTAGAGTTAATTTATTATTACATTAATTTTTTTGTTATTTATATAGCTAAATAGACTAACATGTTTGTAATTTATATTTCAGTGCTACAGAAGAATCTATAACCATGACTCCAGACTCGTCACCAGAGTAAAGACACTATTCTTATTCACTTAGTATTATCTTATTCAAAAAACATTTTTCCCCCAATTTAATCTTCTCAAAAAGGTTTAAACAATGCATGACATACTGTAGAATCTTGTAAATGAGCATATACCCTTAATAATGATTTAGTGTTACTTTTATGTGCCTAATTATGTGGTGGCATAATTGAACATAGGAAGGTGATAGCTATTAAGTGACATGCTATAGATATAACTTATCGCTCAAAGTCATTACCTGGCCACGCTATATTTTTTTAAGTGCATGCGGGTACAAATTTGTAATGACGTTGCTATGTAATAATATCAATGTTCACACATAAAAACATATATTGCGTTGACATGAAATACTTATCAGGTAGCCGTGTAATACATATATGTGTGTCCATAATAGCTACGGCGTTTGCACATAGTAACTTAAAGGATGTCCCCTTTATGCCACCAAAAATTAATGGTAACCAAAAATAATTGATATGCACTTACAGATATGCCTTGTGTGACAAATAATCAATGTGTTACATGATAATATTTTACATGATGATTATTTTAGAATGACTAAGAAGTCATGGTTTGGTTCACTGATGGGTTCGGAAAGGGAAGAACACCATTTTGTGATGGTGAGGGATAAACCTCTCTCACAAATCAAGGCTGACCTCATACATGCATTCCTTTCTGTGAGTATACATACAGTGAATGTGATGTTACGTTTTAAATTATTTCATTTTAAACATTACCGGTATTTCTTAATGTCTGAGCATGTATCATATTATTGTTTATATAATACATTTGTAAATTAAGTGTTTCAAGAGAATTTTAAAAAAGGTATGTGATACACTAACAAGATATCCTGTTATAATATTAGATTATTATGCCCACTTTTCTTAGTTTTGCAATATTGTTATGGTGGTCGGCCACTCTTCAAAGCACTTACTGTGTACTTTGTTTTCTTATTCATGAACACATTGTTTCTCTATTTATGAACACATACCATTTCATAATCATTTCCTCTTATAATGATTACTTATTCTAACTATCAGAAAAGGTTGAGGAAATGGCGCATATGACTGTGTCATTTTAAATTTTGATGTAAGTAAATTTCTATGTTATAATTTCTGTCTAAATTTTAATTTGCATTTTCGTAGAACTATTTTAGTCATTTTAAATAATAAGGATGATTTGATATTTTGCAGACACCAGATCTATGCCACAGTGTTGTATCAACAACTACGTTCAGAGCTGAATACCGGAGGTCTGGTAGCTCATCTGTATTCTCACGTAACGTCAGGTTCCAAGTGGACATAACTCCGGCACACGGAACAACTCGGGAACATGAAATCAGCATGTATTGTCTCACATTCACTCACATCTCAGGTTCATTGATTTTTTTCTCATTTTTGTCCCCCAAAAAAAGATTGTTATTTTGTTGGTTGGTTGGATTCAACACAATATTAACATGATCCTAGCCACAGATTTTACATTTTTCTTTAAAATTTTCCAAAATCCAAAACTTTACCCCGAAAATTGGTTAAGTATCAAAATTTCACTAAATTTCTTTTTGTATGTTATTTTTTCACCCGTAAAAAGGCTTGGGCCACATCATCCAGTAGTAATCCTAAATAATGTAAGCTGTCAAATATGTGTGATCTATTTATAGATTACGATTACCAAATTATTTTTCAGGTCCATCAAGAAGATTCCGACGTGTTTGTGAACACATACAGAATTTAATGTTGGGTCCACGTGGTGATGCATTAAGTCAGCGTAAGATTAGCACGGACAGTTCCTCGTCATATACCTCCGAGTGCGGCGCATCTCCCACCCACAGTATCTCTGTCACACGTGCTGATTGTGATGATGATGTAATTATTTATTTAACGTATAATTGTGCTTTAGTTCTATATTTTTAATTTTTAGTAGCATGCTTTTCTACTGAAACAGCTTCCATATTTGTTAGATGTATATATATCTTTTTCATGTAACATGTATCTCCTTTTCCACCTATTTAAGCTAACATATATCTAAAACTTTGGTGGGGATAAGAATCCCATTCAGCAATTATAGTTATAATTATTTTTGTGACGAAAAGGAGAGTTATATAAGTAAATGGCTAAGTCTTGACATTTACAGTGATTAGAAGTCAACAGGCTGTATTAAGGCTGTATTAACAGAAATTGATCTGTGTTCAATAGCAAGCATGTGAAGCCAATGACCATGATTGTGAAATATTAACATAAAGCAGTAGTATAAAAATAAAGCCTTTATAACTGCCAATTTATCATCATTTATGTCAGATATCTAATTGTTGTAGACAATATTATACATGTATAAACTTTGTACTGCTGGTATAGTTCACTCACTGTAGTTCACAGGTTTTAACTGTTCAAATTGCTGAAACCAAAAGTGAATAGCATTAAACAACAGTGTAGAAGCCAGGTCTGATGACATCTCGGTGCTGTCTGACCAGCTTAATATTGGTGGTTGCTCTAAATTTTTGTACTTCGATATTGAAATCCCGTTAACTTTGAATGAACAGTTCCAAAGTCATAGCAGGACATATCCATTACACAAATTTAGCAAGTTTAGGGTGTGCTTTTTTTAAGTTTACAAAATATGATGTAATTGTATGTACAAAATATGATGTAATTGTATGTATCTGGTTTTATTTCAGACCCCAGTGTTTGATAGAATCAGTAAAACTCCTACCCCACAGAGGAGAGATATACCTCGAGTGATCACAAACGGTAGGAGAGTGATCGTGGATCCAAGCATCAGACGAAAAGATAAAATGTGACGCAGATTTAGAAATTGAACTACTTTTCCATTTTATTAGGAATGGAATAATGGATTGTATTCGGAAATAATAAGACATTGTATGATTTAAAGGAGTCGGTTATCCAATCAAAAGAGCATGCTGATGTATTTACCAGTATGTTCATGAAGTTCATGAAGTGGATTACATTGTTAACAGAACTTGAATAAGCAAGAGCCTGGTTCTGTGTTACTATTTGTTAAGTTTTGGGATTGATGAGCCTTCCATATTTAAGTATATGATTGTGTAAGCACAATTGAAATGTCAGTTTTGTATGTATTATAGAATTGTTAATTGATTCATCAAGGAAATTTGTTTCAGAACATGGATAATTATTCTTGGACAACACAACAAGTATATTTTAGGTAGAACAACACAACATCAAGAACAACACAACAAGGATAGCTATTATAGAACAACACAACAATGATATCTATAATAGAACAACATGATGCTATCAGTTATAGAACTACAAAACAGGGATATTTATTATAGAACAACACAATAAGAATATGTTATCTAGAACAACACAACAAAGATATCTAATCTAGAACAACACAACAAGTATGTCTAATCAAGAACAACATGAGGAAATCTAATCTAGAACAACACAACAGAGTTATATTTTCAACACAACAAGGTCAACACAACAGGGATATTTATAATAGACCAACACAACAAGGATAACTATTTTAAAATATAAATAAATATCCATTTAGAAAATTAAAATTAGCATAGATAATTTTCAATTCCATCAATTAAGTATGGGAAGTATAAAAAATATGGAGTAAAGTCTTGAACATGAAATCCCAGTTAGATAATTTTAGAAAATAACTACAGAGCTGTCATTCTTTATAGGTGTTTGTCAGTTTATGTGTAGAGAACAATATTGACTGGTTGTATCAGAACAAGGCTCAATATTAATGATGGTAACCAATTTTGTATTGATATCAAATTCGTCTCTCATCGGTAATTTAGAAATCATGTGAAATTAGTAATCGGTCACTTGCGAAGTTGGTAAATACTGGTTAAGTCATCCAGGAAAGCTGGTTATTCGGATTGACTGACATGGTATGACCAAATAAAAATGTGTTAAAAAGTGGTATAAAAACCAGAAGAAAAAAATAAGCAGAGCAAACAAATAGTGGAAGTGAAGTGTTCAAACTGGAGAACTTTGATGCTATAGCTAAAATGGCTCAAAATGCATTTTTTCTCAGTGATTCAAAATGTTCTTGGGTACAATTTGGGCACAATGAACCAACCCTTTATATATATATGTGTGTATGTGTATATATATATATACATAGGAAACAAGCAATCTGTGTAATACTCGTAATTTTCTGAATGATTTTGATAGGTAGTGTTTGTTAAGAAGTGTAGAGGGCTGAATGATAATAAGGTTTCAGTATTATCCTCAGTCATGCATTTTATCATAATTTGGAGCAAATTTTACAACTCATATTTGTTATACTGGTAACTCAAATATTGTGAAATCATTTATAATTTTATGAGCATTTAAAATTCATAGTTATCAACATGCTACCTAACTGTGCAATAGGGCTGTGTAATCTTTCAGAAAATGAATATTAAGTGGTTTTTGTGTTGCTATATCACTTTTGAATTGCACACAGTATATTTTTGGTTTTGTTTTTAATGGTTGCATATAATTTCTTGAATAAATTCATAAGGCGAAACCTTGAGAAAGGGGATCAACTGATGTTTTTTGACATTACTGGACTGGAAATATTTTTTTCAATATAAATGTTCTGTTTGATGAAAGTCTATTTCAATAACTTCTTTGCATCTCACAGGAGTTCCTTGAATGCTATCAAAAACTTTGAATGTTATCAAAAACTAATAATGCACTCAGAAATTTTAAAATTACAAATGTCTTATCTATTATTTTTTTCTTTTCTTAATCAACTTTCTGATGGCATCCTGCCAAAGTTATAATTTTACTTTTGTACAAAATACTAAATCACTATAGTTGACTATATTCCAAAATACAATGGAAGCGAAAGATAGCTTGGCTCTATGGTCAATGAGTAACATTTTGGAAAACAGAATACTCAAACTGTAAAAGAATACCAAAAATTAAATTTCTTTGAAATATAAAAGTAATAGTAATATGATTTTGGTGGACTTAATGGGCCTTCAATGAAAATATTTTTATTTTATTGATAACCTTCAAAGCTTCTGCCATTTACTTTATTTATCATTTTACTATAATATTCTACCCACCTTTCTTTATCATTTCCTCTACCTCATACATTATACTTCTTGGTTTGCTGACTAAAGTGCACTTTGATTAGATCATGTACTTCTGCCCCAAGTCTTTCTGTCAGTAACTCATATCTAAATCTCTAGAATTTGTATCAAAGAAGCAAACCTGGTTGTTTTCATCTTACAGGAATAGGTACTGGTAGGAGAGATAACTCTGTCACGAAGATCGCTATATAAAAAAAAAATTAACATTTTTTTTCCAACAGACTTACACAGGCACCTAGTTATATAAGAGCAGGACATACTGTATTCTTGCTGATTTTTCAGCTATTTTTTACTTAAGAATGGAAGTGTTGACTTCATCTACTGGCGTAGACTGATAATGTTTTGTATACCTCATTCAGGACCAGTTTCCATTTTCATATATCATTTTTTTACTGTAAAATCTTTTATACCAAAGGTTGTGTAGGTGTGTCAAAATTGTTAATATACACAAAGATAATTAAGATATTGTAAAAAAGAAAAATCTTTAATGATTGTGATTTAGTGTCAAGGTTATATCTCTATTCTCCAACCAATATTACTCTTACATTTTGTTTGATTCACTCTTTGAAATATATCAGTTTGATACTTCTTGATGATTAATACATTTATATTTCAGATAGTCAACTCAAATCATTGCAATATTTTCAAGTGTTTCTTGTCGCTATACTATAAGGACTTAGGTTATGTTTTTATGTTCCTTGTTACTGTTTTTGGAATGAAAAAAGAAAAAATTCTCTGTTAATGTTCATGTATGTTTTTGTTTTGTGTCTCCAGAAATATTCTATATTGGAAAAGTGCAATTTAGTGTATTTATGTACTTAATAATATGTAATAAATAAACAGTGCAATATTATAGCGATTATAGAGTATATATCTTGCCAGAATCAAAGGTTGGGTTGAGGTTTAGAATCTGACCGTTGCTTTGCATCATTTATATTTTAAAAGCATATTTCTGACCAATCAGATTCTAGAAAGTTCCCTTTAAAAAGCTTATAAAATGCTTTTAAAAGTTACCTTTCTGGTGTGTCCTTTTAGTCTACTTGTACCATATATTCTGTAATAAACACCCCCTTTTTTATTTTGTAAATGGAAAAGAAAACTCGAGTTTCCATTTTATTTTAAAACTAAGAAAATTAGATTTGACAATAATTAAGATTTTTTTGGTACTTTAACAGCCCCATCTGTCCCCAACCACCACCCCTTCCCTTTCAGAAAAAATGTAAGCCCTGTGGGGTGTTTGTTAGAAAGTATATGGTATATTTTAGCAGACTTCACAAAATGTCTTAATTCAGCAGTGTATGCATGATAATCTTTCTGCTTCCAGAATTGTTAATTATTTATTTCTGATGTTTAATTATAGTGCATTTTAATTTGAATATTTCTTGAAATTATAGGAATTCACCGCGGTAGATGAATGGTTAGAAAGATATTTGTGTATAATACATGTAAAAAAAACATACAATTATATGGAATTATGTTAAGATAAAACAATTTTTTTTCCAGTTTGCTTTTGGAGCCAAAAATATGATCAGTATTTGCCTCATATATTATAAATTAGAAGAAAAAATTTTTGCTATGAGAGTTACAAAATTGTGGTAATGACTAACGTCATGTTACAGAGTAATTTATGTATATGTTATTTATTGGGATGATGCAATATAATATAAAGCTGTGAATCAATATTTATATTATTTGTTTTGTTTAAATTTTTTTTGTTTGGCAATGTTGTTTTACCAATTAGTGTAAGTTGCCCTTCTTTTAATTATTTAAGTATTCTTTTAGAAAATTTGAAAAATAACTTCCTTAATATGTGAATAATTGTATACATCTTTAGTGAGATAGTTTTAACAATGTTAACAGTTTGGAATTATGTAACCACTTAGCTATTCCACTTCTTTAAACTTTATTCTGACTGTTTTTGTCATGTGCCATGTAAGATTGTACCAGTACCAAATACAACAAAGTTGTACAAGCAGAGAGTATACAGGAATCAGCTTGTCTCCATCTCACCAGCTAGACATGCTTTGTTCTTTGCTAAACTCAGAAACTATTGAAGGTATCAACAGTGTTAGTGCCTAAGATCCATATCAACTACTGCATAATTTTAGAGTTGTTGCCCTTTTGTATTTTGTGTTTTTTTTTGTTAAATACTGTGAATTCACTAATTTTGTGGACATAAAATTTCATGGTTTTGTCACAAAGGACATTTTGGTGGGTTCTTAAAGTTGTAAATTGTATATTGCAAAAAAGTAAATGAATGCAAATAATTATATAATGCAATGCAAAATAATCTTATTGCTTCATCTAAAATTTTGTTGGATCTTAAATTGATGGGTTGATCTATCCTCTAAAACCACGAAAATTTTAGTTCACCATAAATAGTAATGATTTTGCAGTAACCTTTTTAGGGCCCTTTATTATACCCCCGCACAACAAAGTTGTAAGGGGGGTATACTGGAATCAGCTTGTCTGTCCGACCGTCCGTCCGGCTGTCCGTCGGTTTTTAGCTCACCTGTCACAAAGTGACAGGGTGAGCTTTTGTGATCGCTTTTCGTCCGGCGTCCGTCCGTCCGTCCGTCCGTCCGTCGTCCGTCCGTAAACTTTTGCTTTAAATGACATCTCCTCATAAACCACTGAGCCAATTTCATCCAAACTTCACAGGAATGTTCCTTTGGTGGTCACCTTTAAAAATTGTTCAAAGAATTTAATTCCATGCAGAACTCTGGTTGCCATGGCAACCGAAAGAAAAATCTTTAAATATCTTCTTTTAAACAACCCTAAGAGCTAGAGCTTAGATATTTGGCATGAAACATCTTCTAATGAGTGTCTACCAAGTTTGTTCAAATAAAAGCCCTGGGGTCA